CACTGCCAGGGATGGGGCAGCCACAGCTTCTCTGGGCACCCTGTGCCAGTGCCTCAGCACCCTCACAGGGAAGAGCTTCTGCCCCAGAGCTCAGCTCAGTCTCCCCTCGGGCAGGTTAAAGCCATTCCCCTTGGCCTGTCCCTACATCCCTTGTCCCAAGCCCCTCTCCAGCTTTCCTGCAGCCCCTTCAGGCACTGGAGCTGCTCTCAGGTCTCCCCTTCAGGAGCCTTCACTTCTCCAGGCTGCCCCAGCCCAGCTCTCTCAGCCTGGCTCCAGAGCAGAGCTGCTCCAGCCCTCTGGAGCCCTCATTTACCGCTGACCAACTGTAACACACCACAAGGAGAGCAGGAGAGAGGCACTGAGGGAGAGGGATGCTGTGAAACAGGAAACAGAAACCCCAGAAGTGTCAATAGGGCAAATAAACACCCTCCATTCCCTGTCAAAGTGACCCTGGCGAGGGGAACTCTTGGCTCCCAATGTGAACGTTCAGCCATGAGTTTCCAAGAGGGACATGTCAGCCGGGCAGCTACCAGAACTCCTATTGGCAGGAGCAGCAGCATCCTGTGCCTGAAGCCCATCTCCAGCTGGGGCAGCCTCCTCTCAAAGGGCTCCAGCAGCACAGGGTGTGTAAAGCTGATCCATGCACTGCTGGCCAGCACAGGCAGCGCGGCGGCAGCCAGTGGGTGTTCTGCAGTGACTGGTGGCGACTGACATGGGTTTTAGTCTTCTAAGGCTGCTCAGCCTGGAGAAGAGAAGCTGCTGGAGACCTCAGAGCAGTTTCCAGGATGCTGGAGAGGGACTCTTCATCAGGGACTGCAGTGACAGGACAAGGGGTGATGGGCTCAGACTGAAACAGGGGAAGTTCAGGTTGGATCTTAGGCAGAAGCTCTTCCCTGTGAGGGTGCTGAGGCGCTGGCACAGGGTGCCCAGAGAAGCTGTGGCTGCCCCATCCCTGGCAGTGTTCAAGGCCGGGTTGGACACAGGGGCTTGGAGCAAGCTGCTCTATGGAAGGGGTCCCTGGCCGTGGCAGGGGTTGGAGCTGGAGAAGCTTTAAGGTCCCTTCCAACCCAAACCAGTCCATGATCCTATGAAACGGGCAACTCACAAACGTCCCATAGCACAGGCTACCGCCAGCGCTGCAGCAGCAGGGGAAAGGCCGAGCATGGAGCTCCCTCACCAGGGAACAGTGCCCAGTACCGAGGGGCAAAGCCGCGGCTGCGCAGGGCGCAGATAATGGTCCTGCCACAGCTGGTGGGAGCGATCCCCAAAGTGACACCGCGGGGACACGGTGCCCCACGCTGATACCACGGCTCCACCCTGATACTGCGGCCCCCGAGGGAGGGTGGCAGCTCACCAGGGCCATGGTGCATGGCTGCAGGGGCAGGCTGCTTTGTGTGCTCGTGCCGTTGGTCCATCGCCCCGTGTCCGCCTGCTGTCCAGCCAAGAGGACATGAGAGTCTGACTGTGACTATAGCAGGGTGAAGCCCGGGGAACCACAGGGAGGGTGTGGAGTAACAGCCCTGGTATCGGTGGCACAGTTGAGCTGGGAAGGATGCACACGCTTCCCTTTTCCAAGTGGGATGACTCCCACTGAAAATCCAACAGCTGAAATTCCCCAGAGGAGCGGGCAGAGCCGCCGCTCGGCTCAATGTGGGGATTTGTTCAGCTAGGAGTTATGTCAGCTCCTAAATTATTAAATAATAGCCGAATGAATCACTTGGGAACATAGCGTTCCTCTTGCACAGCCCATTTTCGATCTGTCTGCAGCTCGTGTTTATTTTAATCACAACAGTGTTTGTCTGAAGTTACAGAATGTAACCAGCAGCGAACCTGCAGAAATGAAACAGAAAACAGAGACAGTGACAGGACTTCTAGGAAGCCAGAGCGCTTCTTGCATGGGCTGGGCTGCTGCACCTCCAGCTCCGCTGCGCTCCAGGGCGGCCAAGCCAAAACTGCCTTGGTTTTGTTTGCTTTGGCCTGGTTTTGGCAGGTCGAGGTGGGAAATTGGAGCTCTTTGCGTGGGAACCCAAGGCCCGTGTCTTTGTGGCAGGTCTTGGGTGCTACATGGGATCTAAGGTTGAACTGGAGCTACTGGAGATGCCCTTTGGTTTGCAAAGGGGGTTGACGCTCCAGTCTCTGCACTTCTCTATCTGAGCAGCACCAGAGGAGGGTGATTCCTGATGCAGCTCACGTTTTGGGGTGGTATTTTGAGGGTCTGACTTGAACATGGGTGTGGGGACAGGGGTTGAGGCCAGAGGAAACAGGAAGAAGTTTGTCCAACGTTCAGCTGCTTTGTGGATCTTTGTGTCATTGCGGGGCCATGGGCTGGGGAGCCAAAGAAAGGAAAACTGGAAGTGGGGATGATACCAGCAGGGGATAAAAGCTGCAGAACCTCGGTCAGTGGCTCCCAGGGCTGAGTTCTGCTGGCAGGTCCCTCCGAAACAGGAGCTGGTCAGAGATAAGAGGTGTGACCCACCCTTCCGGGTGCTGCGGGGAGGTTCCAGCGCACAGAGCAACATCACTGCTGCCTCCTCTGACTTCAAACAACAGCGGTGCAAAGGCAGCGAGTATGGAATCCATCAGGATATGTCTGAGTTCTCAGTGTGGCTGGAAACACACCCGGGCTGGGGGTGAACTGCAGCAGCTCCCCAGCAGCAGCTCAAGCAGGGCTTAACTAACAAGCACTGCTGGTGCTGGGGAGGGTGGCAGCTTCACACCCATCCATGACCCGGGCCAGCTGAACCTGTCGCAGGGCTGGTGGCACACACCCCAGGGGAAGAACGAACATCTTCAACCTCTCCATTTTCTAAGTGCAAGGCACATTCTCACAATGATCTTCTTTGTCATAAACAAAGAGCAGCATGTACATAAAAAGGAAATGAAACCTCCCTTTCTTCGTAGAACCATTTGCACACAGTACTCTCCCCGGGGACAGTGTGGGAAAAGAACACCCTGCACATCAACAGAGGGGAGTTAGCGGTGCTTAACGGCTGTGCCCATATGCTGCAGTGATGGGCGTCTGACGAACTCGGTGTTAGCCTCAGGATGCTTCTCCTGGGCAAGAGCAGGGGCAGCTGAAGCTCTCCCCGGTCACCAAAGGAGCTCAGCACCTCGGTGTGAGCACCGTGAAACCAGGCTGAGACAGTTCATGAGCACAGGCAGCAGAGATCCCATCACTGCTCAGAGCAGGGCTGGTGCTGAGCATGGAGGGGGAGCCACCTCCTTGTGCCAGGGAACCACTGGCGAGTGTGTGTCCTCCTCTGGCCAGGACAGATTGCTGAGCAGCTCTTCCTGGTCTGCTGATCTGTGGGGAGATGCCAGGGATGTCCCTGGCTCCAGAACACAAACATTTATCACTTCAGTTTCAGAGTAACTTTTCAAGCAGAAGCTGCATCACTCTACCTATGGGAGCACCCCAGTGCTCCCAGGCTGGTCACCCTCTCCTAGGAGCAAATGGGAAGCCCCAGATCCACGAACGTGCCACCACCTTGAAACCACAACACAGTAACAGCTCCCTGCGAGAAGGGCTGCTCACAGCCAGCGCTTACACAGCTCCCATCTTCCTTTAGAAGCTGCTGACTTTGCTCCCCACCTGACTGCTGTACAGAAGCAGTCACCTGCTGGGAAGCAGCAGCTCTGCTCCACAGCAAGGTCCAACTGCTGCGTTCAGCTGAGGAGTAAAACATGAAATCATAACCCCAGAACGGAATCACCACCCGCTTCCCTGCTGGGTACTGCCTCCTGTACTTCAGCTTTCCTGCCCTCCTTTCTGCAGGCTGCGTCCCTCCACACCACTTAACCACAAGAGGAATGGCGGCGCTGGTGCAGCCCTTCCAGGATCAAACCCTGCAGGACCACGGGTTAAAGCCGGGCACGCAGCTGCACACAGCACATGACATCATCCCAAGCCTTTCATCTGGTGCCCGCGCTCCCGGAGCAGCTGGGCCGCCGGGACCAAAGCCCCTTGGGAACCGGGATTCCCACTGCAGGTGAGGCCGCCCTGACCCCTGCTGGGGAACCGTGACAGTGCGGCCACGGCTCTGCTGCGAGCCCGGCCCAGCCTCGTCCTCCACGGCCTGAAGGGCTGAGATCCTGTGCTTGTGCAAGGGTCGGGGATCGAGGGCCGTGCCTGGCTGCACGCAGACCACCTGTGTTTAAGGGACAGCAGTCTGGGCCGGGGGCTATTAAACTGGTGGTCAAGGGATCCACAGGAGATGACCTTTAAGAGCACTGATTCCTACTGTAAGTAGTACAAAACAGTTAAATAAGGAATAAATCAACATGCTCTACCCCAGCAGGCAATGCAGTCACACCTCTGCCCCAGCTGCTGACAGTGAACTAGACCTTGTCCCCACACCTACTTCCATAGCCCCTTTCCAGGCAGCACAAGGAGTAGCAGCATTCCATCCATCAGAGACTTGTCTTGATCTTGTCCCAGCCTAACCACTACAGAGGAAATCAAGCCACACGGCCGTTCAGCATGACAGATTTAATCTACGTGCACATGATGTAAATGGATGCAGCTCATCTTCTATTGGATACTGCGGGGAAAAAAAAAAGAGCCAAGAGGCAGTTTGGGAGCCATGACCACACTTGAGCCACACTGTGGGGCTTTATGATCCAAGGGAAAACTTCACAAAGCTTCAGCTCACACTGCTGCTGGCTCAAAACTGCAATGTGAGGAATAGCTCCTGTGTTACCAACCCACATCCAGGACACCAAAACCATTGTGAACCTTTGAATCTCCAGCTGGTTTTCCAAGTCAGCATCCCAGAGCTTGCCAACAGATTATTAGTCAAGCCAGCATTACCTAAACTCAGCTTGGCTGCATCAGTAACAGTAGTATTAGGCACTTGTGGCAGTGACCAGCCTGTGACACCTCACTCCATCCCACAGGGCACAACTTCATGTGCATCCACAGTTGCATCCCAAGCCCCCAGCACCCATTCTGTGATGCAAGTGTACATAGCAGGTACTCAAGTCAAATACTGAACAAGAAGTTGTAACCAAAACTTTAATCCCAAGGATCTCACAAAAGACATTTTACAAGTGACATGAAAATTCTTATACAGTAAAGAAATGTTTAAATCATAGCTTTCCCAATGTACCATTACACACCCAAGACATCCACTCCAGTTGTCAGTTCTGCTGTGTATTTGGTCTGTTCAGAGGTTCTGGAATAGATGGGCAATCAGCAATCACCTAGTTGAGTACTCTAATGACATAAAGTACAAAGTCAACTGACCCTACGGCTACAAGTTTATATTTCACAGCATATAAAGCAGCTCTGTTCCAGGTAATGGAAGTCAGAACCAGAGCTCTGGATACAGCTGCAGCTCCGTCATTCCCTCCACACACTCCCCGCTCCTGACTGTTTGACAACTCTCCTATGAAGCATCTACATCTTTTTCAGCACAGACAGACATCGCTCCCGGCCACACTCACACAGTGAACACCTCTTCCTTGCCCCCCTCCTCCCAAGAGCTGAACCCTAGCACAACCCCCACCCAGCACATCAAGACCTGAAGCATTCTTCTACCCACGCAACACACACTGCCTAGACTCGGCACAAGCACACCCCGTGTGTAATGGTACATTGTAAAGGGCGTATTACAAATCATATGATCTGCTCAGAACCATATACAGATTCACATCTTTACATTTGCCACCTGTTACAAGATACAAGGAACAAAGCGAGTTCAACAGCTAAAACATTTTAAAAATGCACCAAGCTTTATGAAGTTTCAAAACAAAACAATGTTCTGTACATACTCCTCCTGGCCTCAGATCTAAGGGCTTCCTGTACACAGCTCCTTCTCACAGTCTTATTTCCTCTCGTTTGACCTGGAACGACTGTAGGAGAGGAGACATGTTAGTGCCCAGGTGCTGAGAGCAGCAGTTTGCTTTGAAGCCCCCAACCCAAACTGGTGGAGGACATTTACGTATTTCAAAATATCCTTTGCTTAATAAAACTGAGTCTTCAAGGTGATGAACCTCCTAAGATACTGTAGATGATTCTCCACCACAACCTTCTCCAGTAGTCCCAAGACACGGAAGCATGCATTTTCCATATTAAATAGCCATTATAAGACTCATCCTACCTGCGAGACCTGGAAAAGGAACGAGAGGGCTTGTGGTTCCTCTCCCGTGAGAGTGACCGCTCTCTTCTTCTGTCTCTGGAGAGGGACCTGTTGAAGATTACAATGCAAAATGACTACCCCATCAAAGCAAAGCTAAACCTGGTTACCAAAAGCAGCTTCCCTTCAGTAAGTGAAGGGTTTGAGTAGTTAAAACTTCTTAAAAACCCTTCTGACTACTCAACCAGAGAAACCTGTTGAAGGTGATGCTATCTGCCTTCAGGTTTGAATAATCAGCTTCAGCCATACAATGCAGCTTAAGTCATGTTGTGAACAAGTATCAACTCCTCTGCAGCAGCCTGTTCAGAGTGTGACTGTGAGCACAGGCACCTCTGCTAACATGCTGTGACCATAGCATGTACACAGCAATGACACAGCCTGTACAGCAATGCTCCTCCTATGCTACAGCAATTCAGGAAGCTGCAGAGACCCCAGTGCAACACCATGTTACACCACTGTCACCTAACAGCCTGCAGTTCAACAGCAGAACAAGCTCCTTGCATTCAGCATCACCTGCACTTGCTGCTGCATCTGGCAGCAGCAGCACACCGACAGAGAAACTGATGAACTGGCAAGGAGCTTTGGACAGCTACAGAACTCACTGGTTCCATTCTCTACATCCTTCCACTGACAACCCCTGTGTGGAATACACTCAGGAGAAAATTAACTCCATCCCAGCCCTGGAATCGCAAGTAGCTGTGTAAATATATTAACTCCACACAGCAACATGACAGAAGCAAACCCAGTCCCTCTCCCCTCACCCAGTCACCGTGCCAGCCCACGTGTTAGACTGGTTGGGTTTCTCTTTTTAAACCTCCCAGACGAAGCAGCCCATGCTGGAATTAGCTGATGCGTACCTGCTGCGGCTACGAGAGAAGCTTCTCCTTCGTGGCGATCTAGAACCAGAAAAAGAAATGTGAGGCTTTTGATCACCTTTTTTAGCATTAATGGGGTGAGGCATTTCCCAACTTGTCAAACTCCCTGTTGGGCCCAGGGAACGTGCCAAGAAAAACTGGCATCCATCATCCAGTAAAAGGCATGGAAAGATTAGGCAGTAAACCAAAGCTCAGTGTGAACAGCACGTTTCCAACCAGGAATTCACTTTTAACTAAAGAATGCTTCAGAGCAGAGTTGTCCACTGCAACACTTCCCATTTCAACTAAATACACTGCCCAGAACACCACACCAAAGTCCCACGAGTGGTTCCAAACAAAAATAGATAGCACAGAGCAAATGTTTTGGAACCCATGCAAGCCAAAAAGGTCCAGAACTAGACACAAGAGATATCAAGTGGGAAAAAAAAAAAAAGTGAAAATGCGCTCAGGGTCAATACTGATAATGCCATTAAGTGCTACATTAGAACTGCATATTTGTGATTGTCATTTTTAATGCCATCGAGTGTGTTTAGACTATTTTTTAATAATAAAAAAAATAAAAAAGAAATAAAAAAAATAACCTTAGCTTGGCCCAGTTCATCCCAAAAAGTCATTGTTTTAAGTTTTGAAAACTGTTAGTAAAACCATTTAAAGGTGATAGGATTTTTGTCTGGCAAGGAAAAGCTAGGTTGGTTAGAGCTTTATTACAAATTTAGTTTGGCATCTCACATGCAAATATACTGGTTTGTACGTTATTCACAGTGCAAGAGCTTCCATATCACCCTTAAAAGTTTTCTCAAGCAACATATGTACGTTACCACTCAATTATGCACAGCCAGCCTTTGATTGAGAAAAGTAATTACTTATAAGCCGCTTACTCCTTATTTTAACCAGCAGTAAACTGTATAAGCAGGAAAAACTTACTAGTTTTTGGTTTCAACAAGCTAGAAATGGTGAGGTGAGGCTGCCGGACTGACTGCCAAGAAGAATTTGCTGAAAAGGTTTTGCCAGATGTTGCGTTGTATTTAGTTGGTTGGCGGAGGGGGTGTTGTGGATTTTTCCTGCTTTTTTGTTAGCCGAAGGCTGCTGCTGTAGTTGTTGTGAAGACATTTGGTAAATAAACAGCTGAGCTGATTGGCCGGGAATTGGGTGGGCGGTCGAGGTGGCTGCTGCCGATTTGGTTAAGGTTGGAGAGAAGGCTGAGAGAAAACAGCATGCTCGGGAACCAAAGGGCGGTGCAACCTGACGACTGGCCATGCCTGGGTCATGTGAAACGACACCAGCCAAGCTGCATGGGGCGCGCTGGTCACATGACGCTGAAAGGGCTAGTTGACTGGCTAATGCAGACTCAGAGGGTGGTGAGAAGAGACATGATGGTGACTCTGTAACGGGTTCATTTTTATTAATAGATGGACCAAAAAAAGCATAAAAAAAATGAAAAACAAGCCATCAGTACAACCATCTAGTAGCTAACAAATACTCCTAACGTGTTATTTTTTTTTTTAAACAGCTCCAAACCCTGACTTGGGAGGACTTCACTCACCTGCAACAGGTAAATTCAGTCCTGCAAAAACCACCTTGTAGTCTTACACCACCAGACAAGGTAGTCTGGGTCCAAGAACAGGTCAGTTCCCAAAAATCCTGCTATATTTTAGAGCTGGGTTTGTAGGCCTCAAGTGACAGGATGGTCACATGAAGTTTTAATTGCAAACTACCACTAAAGTGTAAAGATTCAAGATGTTTAGAGCAACTGTTGTTACTTGATCTATTATTAAACAGCTGCCTACTTGGAAAGAATTTAAATTGCACAAACAAAGCAGAGAAACAACATCTGTATGGAAATGCTAAGCTGCTGTATGTCATGTTTTGCCATTATGGAATAAAGGAAAGGAACAGCCTAAGTTGAAGTATGGGGAAGAAAGGGAAAGTGTGACTAGAAGATGAGCAGATTTTAGGAGAAACGAGGATAAATCCAGGACAGAGGGCGCTGACTACCAACTTGCACAGTGACCTACGGACAAAAGCCAACATTCAACACAAGTTCACCTCCATTTTGTGGGGGCTTGGGGTTTTCTTTTAAGCATTTGCCATCTCCAAATTGGGATCAGATAGAGGAACGTTATCCATCAACATGCTTTTAAAAAAGCCTGCTTCTAGGATGCTACGTGGTAACAGTGCCAACAGCTCTATGAGTGTACTGTGCCCCCAGGTACCTGCGGCGGGGAGGAGGACTCCTTCTGCGGTAGTCGTCTCGAGGACGCCGGCCCCAGGATGGGGGTGGACCACGGTTCCGACTCCGCTTCTCACCGTTGGAGAGCTCCACTCTGACACGACACCCACAGAGGGTTCTGGGAAGAGAGATTGACATCCATTAGCATTGCCAGGGAGAAGGCTGCGGCCAGAGGGAACCTAGGGAACGGAGAGAGAAAAAAAGGAACAGGCAAGCACACAGCACTTAGTCTAAAAGTGTTATCTCCAGCATGACAGACAAAAGGTTTGGTCACTTCTAGAGCTTGCCATGCTGTTAAAGCAGGCACAGGAAACACAGGGAAGGTCCCTGATCAGCTTTGCCTCTTTATAGTAACACCATCCTTAAATTAACTAACACACACCAGGAGGCCTAAGTCACATCTAACTTGGGATTCCAGCTCCAAAATGTAAAATTAACTGTTCCAATGCTATTCCTGCACTATTAAGACTACCCTTATTATCACCACATGCATAAATACCGCGTAACAAGTGTGTCAGGCCTTATTTTTGCTACTTGAAGCTTCCTAATTTAAACTGTCACTACCCCCAATCTTATTTTCACTGGGCAAGCCAAACAGTCAAGAAGCACATTTACCTTCCATCTAGTTCTCTTACTGCATCAGCTGCATCTCGTGGATCCTCAAACTCCACAAAAGCAAAGCCAGGAGGATTTCTTGCCACCCATACACTGCGCAGTGGTCCATAGTAGCCAAAAGCTCGCTCTAGTTCAGTTTTGTTGCCATTGTTTCCAAGGTTACCCACGTAAACCTTGCAGTCCAGCGGACAAGAGTCACGATGCATCGCTAGGATGAAAGCAAAATATAAGTTCATGCACTTTTAACACACACCATGTGTTTATTCACTTACAAGAGAAGTATTTCTTTTGGTTGCTTTTCTTACAAACTTCCAACAATTGTATGGTCGGATGACAGAAATGCTGTGAAGAAGGGGGGAAGGGTTGGGGGGGGGGGGGGGGGAGAAAAATGTTTAAAACCAAACAAAACCCCTAGCTGCGATACCGTAATCGTGATTAAATTTCAGTACTTCAGAGAATCTGGTTTACTTTTAAGCACTCTATCTTTAAAGGAGTGCTTCTCTCGACCCCTTTCTCCCGCACTACGGGGGGAGGGAGGCGGGCCTGCAGGAGGAGCGCCGCGTGGGAGAAGGACTCCATTGTTCTCGGAGCGGGATCCGGAGGAAGCTGCACCAGCTGAAGGCAAAAGCAGCGCCATCTCCGGCGGAGCCACGGCGGGAGCGTCCGGGGAACCCCTCCAGAGCGTCTCCGCCTCAGCACGGCGGCAGGAAGCAACGCTCCGGCCGAGCGGGAGGAAAGGCTCCACGCCACCCCCGCGGCACGTCCCGCCCCGCCGCACCTCGCCTCGCCTCGGTGGCCACGGAGGAAAAGCAGCGAGCGGGCTCTTCAAGCCGATCCGCGGCCTCCCCGGCCGGCTTCCCTCAGCGCAGCTGCAGCCACCGCCCGCGGCCCGGAGTTACAAAATGGCGGCTGCTCTTTGTTTGCCGCCACCGGGCACCGCCGCTTCCATCCGGCCCAGGCGGGAACCGAGACCACGGGTGCCGCCTTCCCCCCCCGCCCTCCGAGGTGAAGCTCCTCACCGATGCTAAGAGGGAGGGCGCCCGAAGGGAGCCCGCGCTAAGCTCGCAGCCGACTCGACCCTCACCGAGACTCCCGCTCCGCTTTTCCTCACTGGACAAAATGGCGGCAGGCACCGACCCTGTCCGCCCTTATATACGGGCAGCCCACCTCCCACGTGACGTCATCCGCAGCAAATCAGAGCGCGCCGTTCCCATGATTGACAGCTCGCCTCATCCCGCCCCCCGCCGCTCGGCCCAGGCGGTGGCGGGAGCCGAGGGACCGCTCCTTGCGCCGCGCGTCTGCCTCGGTCCGGAGCATTCCTCGGGTCATGGAATGAGCCCGGAATGAGCCCGGAATGAGCCAGGAATGAGCCAGGAATGAGCCAGGCTGGGAAAGCCCTTCAAGCTCATCCAGTCCAACCATTCCCAGCACTGCCCAGGCCACCCCTAACCCATGGCACTGAGGCCTCGTCTCCACGCTGTGTGAACACTTGCAGGGACGGTGACTGCAGCCCTGCCCTGGGCAGCCTGTTCCAATGCCTGAGCACCCTCTGGGGCAGGAATTGTTCCTCAGCTCCATCTAAACCTGCCCTGGGGCAGCTTGAGGCCGTTTTCTCTTGTCCCATCCCTTGTTCCTTGGGAGCAGAGCCCAGCCCCTCCTGGCTCCATCCTCCTCTCAGGCAGTTGTAGGCAGCCATCAGGTCCCCCCTGAGCCTTCTCTTCTCCACACTGAAACCCCCAGGTCCCTCATCAAGAGGCACAGCAGTGTGCCGCTCCAGTGGGGCATGGACCAGAGGCCCCCCTCATCACCCATGAGGTGTCAGCCCCGCTTAAGCCTCAGTGCAAAGGGTATTTATTTAGAACCCAACCTCAAACTCTGTGTCCAGACTCATCCAAGTCTAGGAGCCCTTCCCTATCACACTTGTGCTCTAGGCCCTGCACCAGCTCCGCTGCCTTCTCTGGGGAATAACTTGCTCCAGAGGGGTTGCCTTGGATAACAAACCCCTGGTTTGTGTTATCAGGTCATAGTGATACCGGGAAATAAAGGGTTACCATTGTGCCTGCTTGTTTAAGCAGTCGCTGTGCTTGGTGAAGCAGAACCGTAGGAGTCAAAGTTGCTAGAACGGTGAAGCAGAATTGTAGGAGTTACAGCTGCTAGGGAGAATTGTAGTAGATAAGATTCATAAAACTTAACATTGAAGACATTCTTGTTCAGACAGTATCCATAGAAAGCAAAGGAACAAAAGACAGCCAGAGTAACATCTGCAAACTTGACAAGTTTCTGCTTTAAGGTACATAAAACTAGCTTGTACCAAACCTGAGGTTTGGACAGGAGCCGAAACCCCATTGAGTCTGCCTGAAAGCAAGGGGTTACTCACGGTGATGAAGAGGAGCTACAGGCCTTCATCCTCACGACCCCCTAAGGACCACTACGAGGCACTGCGCAGGCGCAGCAATGGGATGAATGCCAGAAAACTAATTATAATACTAGATGGGAATAGGCTTTGCATATGTATTAGGCGTGAAGCAATCTCATGTTTAGGTAATCATTATAGGTAATATAAATGAACTGAGTGGCAAAGGAAAGGTGTGCATGCTTTTGGAGGAGCGATCCCCCATGCACCTCAGCGCTGAATAAAGCATACCTACTTTACAACTGTAACGAGTTGTGGAGTCAACCCACGTATCAATAGGAGAAACTCACCCAGGGCTGTTGCTGCAATAACTTTTCCAAATATCACTTCACAGCCTTGTCTGTAGGTTTCACCTTATTGGCTCAGGCCAGAGAAGACAAATTTATCTGGTAGAAGGATGATCAAGAATATACTTGAGTGATATTACATGTGGGGAGGCATTTTGAATACAAACTAATACCCAAGTACTGTATTTTCCAAGCAGGAACTGTGCAGAGGGTGGCGTGTCAGCCTACCAAAATTCTACCAGCATGTACATAAAATAACTGGAATCAAACCAACCAGCTGGTATCATTCATGGAAATTTGCCAAAACCTTTTGCAGCATCCCTTATTTATAAGAGCCTCTTCTCAGCAAAATCCTCCCAAGAATCAAAATTGGCCAAGAGACAAAGAAACAACGAGGATTTTGAGTGTTGCTCTGAAGCAGCCTTATGTGTATGGTTAGGTGACAGTTACCTGCTTTTCATTAAAGAAATCGAATGCATTGTAATGAAAATCAGCTGACAGTCAATTTCCTGAGGCAGCACAAAGGAAACAACTGGAAGCTGAAGTGGGACTTTTCAGCCATTTCACTTCATGTCTTGAAGTGGTGATTTCCCATCCTCACCTCCCTCCTCCATTGGGGTTTGCGCCATGGACTGGACCCTGTCTCACACCACATAATGTACAAACATGCTTTAAGTTTTGCAATAATGAATATTAACTAAAACAAAACCAAACCACACCAAACGTAAGTTAGAGAGCAACAAGCACATCACCCAAACGCCATCCGTTTTCACTTGGCATGCCACCGTGACAAAAGGCAGAGGCCAGATTGGAGGCAGCTGTATTCAGCCAAAACCCCACACCCTATTTCCACAGCTGGTTTTAGGCCGCCCTGACACGGCCACACAGCACTGGAGTAATTCAGAACTCAGCATTTGGATTGTGCTCCCAAAGACGATACCCTGAAACAGCCCTGAGCAGCATTCTATACATGTACACATACACACGTCAAAGCTCCATTCAGTTACATCACTTTCTTCCTCATTCCAAATTTATGGTGTATATCTCTTCCTTTTGCAGAAGAAAATGCCATTCATGTCCAACATCTATAAGATGTACAGAGCTTTTACATTTATCCCTCCGTCAAAGGAAGGAGAGATCACTGACCTTAAAACCACAACCAGACCTACTCCAAATGGATAAGCCAAGCCTAGGCTGAAGAGGCACCTGATGCCTCACAGTTACAGAGGAGCACAGTCACTATAACACAGCCAGACCTGAATCCATGACCAGACTGACAAGAAATACAGTGTTACAGTCAAGCTGCTATCACTGATCCAGAGATTTAAATCTCACATAACAAAATGAACATACTCCAGCCATTATGATCTGGAAGAAACCTCAGCTGTGTGAGCCAAATTTAAGGGATGCTTCAGGAGACAGCCAGTATTTACTAAAGAACACTTCTGTCAGCAAAGAAGTTGCTCTCAAGCAAAACAAGACATTAGCAAAAATACTTATTTACTGACACGACTCTATCTACAGAAAGGGCTTTTGCTTGGAAGTGTCATTACAGGAACACAACAGGACTGGTCTGAAGGGACAGGCATTTGCTTCACTCAGACAAGTGCCTGCACGCAGTCGTACCTCAGCTGGCTGCTTGGGACGTTCGTGTGGATTCAGCCCATTTTCACGTCCTGCCAACAGGCGAATCTTGATGAAGGCTATTTTCTGAAGAAACAGTGACTTAATCTTACAATATATCACCACCAGTTTGTGTAAGCTTGTTCTCACCATGAGTACTCTTCTGTTTACAGGGTACAAGTCCTGTTCCTTATTCCCTCACTATTAAAATACATACATTTTTGGACTGTGACAGCCTTCAGCTCAGCCTCAAACCTTAAATAAAGGGAAACAGCAGAGTGTAGCTTATACATGATAGACCTAAACTGAGACACGCTCTGCATCCAGCACAGGGGCACAGCATGTCCCTGAGACTCAGCACTGGGGATTAGCTAGCACAAAGTCCATTTGCTTCAAGGACAGACACGTCATTTGGTGACTCTTAGTTCCTCAGCAGTCATCCCCACCTTTCCATGTGTGAGCCTTCCGCTGTTGTTGGGGTCCCACCTCTGCCACATCTACGGGCTGGGTGTCGATCACCACCTTTGCACGGTGGCAGACTGAGGCAGGCTCTCCTCAGGACCAGTACACCACTTGCTGGCACTACAGAGACATAAGAAATCCAAACCAGACATTGGCGAGTTTGGTCCCTTAGGAAATACCTTCTTAGTCCTACAGACATTAGCAACTGGGCATCCCCTCTAATAAAGCCTGGGGACAAGAGAGCTGATCCACAGGTAACCTCAGGGCTCCCTGGCTGCTCAGGCAGGATTCAGGGCTGCCCCAACTCACCTGGCATTAGCACCTACCTGCTCACTTGGCCCCTGGCCAGCAAACCCAGGTTTGGGTGCTGGATGGCAGCATTCCCCTCTCATTCTCCCCAGAGAGCTCCTTTGTGAGGGGCAGCCCCAGGACCCTGGAAGATGCTTCTCCTTGTACTTCGGTTTGCTTTTAGAATCACAGAACGGTTAGTGTTGGAAAGGACCTTAAACCCATTCTGGTTCTGCTCAGTTGAGGTTCTCAGCATGTTCCAGCCATGCTGCAACACCATGGACCCAGGGGTAAGCTCAGAGAGCCCTGTGGGGGTTACAGCAGCAGCACAAAGGGACTTGAGGATTTGTCTCAGCTTCACCTGAATTTGTTTTGCACGCAGAAAATATTCGGGACGCTATTTTGGGAAGGGAAGGGTCAGCCCCAGGCTTAGCTCCAGGGCTGGCTCTGCAGGACAGAGCCCCTTCCCCTCACTGCTGTGTTCAGGTAGAGCTCAGGCAAATCTGCCTTGGAATAAGAAAATGGAAAATTACCACCGAGCCTGACTCACTGCTGTGCAGCTGATTCTAATCCCCAGGCAGACGGGAGTTCTCTCTGGGATGATGCAGTATGGAGTGGATTAGGGCAGGATTTAAAGCTGCCCATGCAGCCCTGCACAGCATCACACAACAGTGGTTTCTTACATCTCTGCACTGCGTGCGACTGCCCCCCCAGCATTAAGGTGCTGCTACAAGGGCACCCAGACCGAGCGGAGACCGGCAGCCCGCTCTTTAGGAGCTGAATTTCAGCTCTCCCAATGGTTACCGAGGCGCTTGTGCTGCTCCTTCCTCCCGGGGCGGGGCCGGTGAGACCCCGCATTGACACGGGGGCAGCGATGCAAAAAGCCCTGCTGGGCTCCGGGTGTGCTGCGAGGGGCCGCTTCCCCTCCCCGCATCAGGGAGGCCAGGAAGGGAGCACCCGCTGAGCTGCCCGGGGGGGCTCCGTTTGCCGTCCCGGTGCGGTCAAACCGCTTCCTCCGCGCAGGGCGGGAGGGTTTGGGCTGAGAGAAAAGAAACGCGACAAAAACAAAGCCCATTTGTACACGAGGGAAGCGCGGAGCCTTCTGCAGCCCCCGCGCCCGTTACTGGTGAGTAACGGAGAAGACAAGCATCCGATCGGGGGTTCCGTGCCCCCGCAGGCAGGAGCCCGCTGATGCGGCACAGTCTGGTTAATGAAGTTTTCAAACCCGAGGGAAAAGGATCCCCTGGCCCCAACGAGGCTGTTTGCACTCTGGCTTTGTGCACATTGGCTTTGCTTTCTGCGCCCTCCCCCTATTCCTTCTTCCCCCTCAACGGGGCCTCCGGGCTTTCTCTTCCCTTTTCATGGTCTGCAGCAAGCCCCATTCGCTTCCTCCCCCACCTGGCTCCCAGGGGAAGAGGCCTGGAAACAGCAAAACAAAAGAATCACTCCCTGGGAAGCGGTGACTGGCACAGCCCTGCCTTGCTCAAACACTCCTGCCTACAGGGGACTGCACAGCAAAGCCACCCTCTGATGCGAAGTGAGGCCTGAAGACCGGGAAAAGCCACAGGGTGGGAGCGAAGGCTTTGGAGCAAGGCTAAAACCATTGGAGGCTCCAAGTGTTCTTTGAGGAAAGCCCCAAGGTAACGCAGTCCCGACATCCCTGGCACAATGGGCTCTCAGTCTGCTCCACGCTGCTCAGGCTCTCGCAGAGATTCATCTGTACCAGCTAAAAATACCACCTGGAGCTGCTGTTTGTACAGTTTCTTGCTGTGACATTAGCAACGTTCCCATAGAGTTGGAAACGTTATCTGCTGCGTGTGTGGCTGTGGGATAAGCTGAGCAATCAACACGGTTTATACTGTCTTTAGAAAACGTTCTTGCTGCTGACTCCAGGCTGTGTGGTATAGTTGACATGCTGGAGGGAAGGAATGGGATCCAGAGGGACTTTGACAGAGAGATGGGACCCTGAGAACTTCATGGAGTTCAAGGCCAAGTGCAAGGTCCTGCCCTGGGTCAGGGCAATCCCAGGCACAGACTGGATGGAGCAGCCCTGAGGAGAAGGACTTGGGGTGTTGGTCGATGAGAAGCTCCCCAGGGCCCAGCTTCAGTGTGCGCTTGAGACCAGACACCCCCCCTCCTTTGTGCTGGGCTGCACCCCCAGAGCATGAGTGGCAGCTCAGGGAGGGGATCCTGCTCCTCTGCTGCGCTCTGGGGAGACCCCCCCTGCAGCCCTGATCCAGCTCTGGGGCAGCAGCACAAGAGGGACGTGGAGCTGTTGGAGCGAGGCCATGGAGATGCTGCGAGGGCTGGAGCAGCTCTGCTCTGGAGCCAGGCTGAGAGAGCTGGGCTGGGTCAGCCTGGAGAAGAGAAGGCTCCTGAAGGGGAGACCTGAGAGCAGCTCCAGTGCCTGAAGGGGCTGCAGGAAAGCTGGAGAGGGGCTTGGGACAAGGGATGTAGGGACAGGCCAAGGGGAATGGCTTGAACCTGCCCGAGGGGAGACTGAGATGAGCTCTTAGGCAGAAGCTCTTCCCTGTGAGGGTGCTGAGGCGCTGGCACAGGGTGCCCAGAGAAGCTGTGGCTGCCCCATCCCTGGCAGTGTTCAAGGCCAGGTTGGACACAGGGGCTTGGAGCAAGCTGCTCTAGTGGAAGGTGTCCCTGCCCGTGGCAGGGGTTGGAGCTGGATGAGCTTTAAGGTCCCTTCAACACAAACCAGGCTGGGATTCTATGAGATATTGCAAATGATGGAAATCAATCTCTGCAGCATCTTCCCTACCGTGCTGCTGATGCCCATAATCTTTGCACAGATGCTTCTCAAAGATAAATCATAGCTGCAGCACAGCCTCTCCTCACATACACCTCTCAGGGACATGTTACAAAATCACAATCAAGGTTATTTTGACTACTTCCAAGTCCTTGGGTAGGGAGGTGGAGGAGCGTAGACGAGGCAACGTGGTTTGGCCAGCACAGAATGCATCAAGTGCCCATTTACCGACCCCATGTCAGTGTCTCTGTTCTGTCAGGAGCCACTCACATCACCGTGGGATTAGTTCTTCCTGCAGAGAAGCCAATAACTGCATATGGCGAAACCCACTGCATGGAGACTCAAAAAGTTCAAGGACGAATTAGACCACATGTTTTGGACACGACTTTGGCCAGTGCTCATTAGTCCTTGCAGATGTAACTAAGAAACCTTGTTTTCATGGGCCAATATTCAGTGTAACTGCAGCGTAACTGCTACCCTGGAAACCAAGATGTGAAGCAGGCCCCTGTTTTACCAGCATTTAATAAATGTCATCTTTAATTGGTAATCTATTTCATTCTCTTTGATGAGTGACACTCCTTAACTCACGTAAGGAAATCAGGAACATTATTTGATCGCTCTGAAATAGCAGGGCTCAAAATAACCCGTCCTCAGGAATATAATCAAAGCAATTTGTTGTCCACAGAAGCTGTGAGAAGGGAAGAGGTTGTGCGGGCACTGTCTGTCTGGACAATGTGCCTGCATTCACTTGGGACTGGGCTGAACAGGAATGTATGGCTGAGACTGTGTGAAAGGAATCAGCTTCGGGTAACACTAAATCAGCTTCCCAATCTTTCCCCCAGCCATGACAAATACATTCACTTTCTTTTACTTTGAGAAACAGGAACCAGTCCTCTTTAAGTAGTTCTTAGGCCCAATGGTCCAGCCACATCTTGAGTATCCAAATCCTATTGCAGTTACCTGGTTAGAGATTGTGAAGTGAGCCTCAAGCCTCACACACACACGACATCAGCTCCTGGGGTTTCAAAGCATTTGGCTTTTTGCCTGAGCGTTTGGCAGTTGCTGACTGTATGACTACTGACACTACAGAGCTCATTGGTATTGCTGATTTAGATTCCTCCTGCGCAACTTCAGTGTCCTATGAGTAAGTCCATGAGGACAGCAGGGCAGGGGGATCTCTTATACATAGCACAGACATTTTTCCTGATGAACCCTGCAACAACAGGTTTGAATATGCCTTTTCCATCACCTTGGAGCACAGGAACACTGTGTTAGAATAAAAAGTGCTCACAAGACAACATCCTGGGTTCAGGAGAGACAGCAAAGGAGTAAGAAGATGTCCATAAACGTGTGATCTTTCCCTTAGTCACAACTGAACAGAACATGTCAGAATCCAGGATTTATTCTCGCTGGAGTCAGGGAGCTGTCTCATTTCACTGCCATGAGAGGCAAGGTCTTAGTCACACTGTGCTGTGGAGCTCATGTCTATTGTTTCTGTGGTTTCTGGGCTGCTATAAAAGCAGGTGAAAGGCACTTGGTGTCACTGCAACTGGGAGGTTGTGACAGGACTGGCCAGGAGACAGGTCTGCAGGGCAGAACCTCCCTGTGGGCTCTGCAGGATCACCAGTAAGTAGCTGATGTTACTTTTGGAACTGGAAGATGCTTTTAAATTCATAGCTTACAATAGGAAAGTATCTCTTACCTACTGTGTATCAGCAGGAGTTGTACTTTAGCATAACCTAAAATACCATCCACACACATCTATGTGTGTATTTATGTGTATATGTCTGTATTTAATACAGCTATCTTTACTCAGAACTAATATCCATTTGTTACTTTATATCTAGTTTAATGTGGACATACTGTCCAAGGAAGTGACAAATTAGTGGAGTAAATGTATAGGAACAAGCCAAATTTTTACACCCAGGTGTTTAATTTGCCTTTCTATGCAGTCATTGAGAATTCAGCATTCAAGTGAGTGTAAAGAAAAGCCATTTGAGGAGCAATGCTGATCTTTGTGTTAAATTTCTGCTAAGTTTTTTGTCTTGCCAGTTCTAAATGAAATAATCTCCTTTGCTTGCCAATGGACAAGAGTGGAAATTGAAAGGCAGTACTGGAAAAGGAGAATTAGGACTGTTAGCAAGGAAATGAGAACTATACTGTGAAATCTGCTCATTTTTCACTGGTTTGTGTTATGTATCCACACATCTGATGTTCTGTGAGCTCCTGGGGTGATGTACCACAGTACAATGCTCCACTTCTACCAGTGCTTCAAGGCTGGACTTCATTTTGTCAGGTGAAAGAAAGACTAGAGAATAAAAGATTTGGATCATACTGTCAGCTTCTTGTCCCGTGGAGCAGGTTTGAAGAAGAGGGAAGATGTTCCTGCCCCAGAGATCTCTGCAGGTGGTTACACTATTGGCAGTTCTTTCTTTTACCTGTTTTGCAACATGTCAAGACACTGCAAAGTAAGTAAGCACTATCATCCTTTTACTTAATGCCATTAGAGCTCTGCTTGCCTTTGATTTAATGGGCTGTATCCTGACTGCTCTCATTTAGTCCAGAGTGGAAGAAAATGCTTATGTATTCGATGCAGAAACATTTTACATTGCTCTCCATGCAGTATAAAATTAGACCGACTGCATTTTAGATGTGGAACGCTCACCACGTTTCAGTTGATGCCTTTCAACACAGTGTAACGAACCATGTAAGGCTGTTCAGCACAAGCCATGGGAATGGCACATGCTCAAATTCCATATTTAGGTTCCCATTCCAATGTGAATCTGCAGTGGGAGCCTATAGCTGCAGTTGGGTGTTACCTAAGAAGCCCCAGATCCAGCAATATTTGCATCCTGGAATGAGCCTCTCCTCCTCAGTCAATATATGGCTCAAAGTTTTCGGTATTTCCAAAGAAAATAATGAGGTTCCCTGCCCGTGGCAGAGGCTGGAATGAGATGATCTCTAAGGTCCCTTCCAACCCAGCCCATCCTGGGATTCAGCATTTCATGGGCCCCACTGATTCCAGTTAAATTACTCCTGACTTACAGCTCTGGAAGGAAAGAAAACCCGTCCATCCTAGAACGCTGAGGTCACGAAAAGGGAACTTAATTCTGGTATTTAAATCTCTGATCCCAAATTTAGGAAAGACCAAATCTCTAAGAGCCATTTTAAGCCTCCACATCATGGGCAGGCACTACCAGTGCTCCTTCCTCAGCTTGGAAAAGCATCTAAGATTGATGGCTGCAAACCACGTTTGAAATAGGAGCATAGATCTGACTGCTTCCTCAATAACTGTTTCTTGTTTCAGTAAACGAGCAGTGACCGAGCACCAGCTCATGCATGACAAAGGGAGGGAGTTTCAAGGGTTGAAGCGCCTGATGTGGCTCCACAATGCCCTGGGCAGCGTGCACACAGCCAGCAGCAGGGATATTTCCCTTTCAAATGCCATGTGGGATTCACCAAAGAGCCAAGATCCCTCAGATCTCTACAACAGCATCAACAGGGACAAGACTTCAAGCCGGATGAAGCAGCTGCTGGAGCTGATGGAAAAAGAGCAGGGCTTCCCCCCGTTAAAGCAGCTGGATTTGCTGCAGTCTATGAAGAGCCCAAAGGGTAACTGGAACCTGCAAGAGCTTTCTGACCTCCTTCCAGTCAAAGAGCTGGGCGGCAGGAGAGATCCTGGCAGCCAGGCACAGAACTATTCCCACTAGCATCAATCCTCAGTCTCTCCATCCCTTCAGACGTGTGATGGTGTAGGGAAAGGCTCTGGCATAAAGGTGAATTGCAGAAGAGAAATAAGATCCATGTGTTCCCCTAAGGACCCCGTGATGTTGAGCAGAGACCCTCACAACCACTCAGGTTCCCTCCCTCGCAGGCTGTCCAAGCACTGGGACTGTGATGGGTTGTCATGGACCCCAAATGTCTCCTTCATGGCAGGGCCCTCCCTGATTCCTGTGGCCGCTCTCTGGAGCTCTCGCAGCCCACACACAGCAGGATGTTGGGGTCATTCAGCTGCGTGTTCACCGGCTCTCTTACAGTCTGATGTTCTGAGCCCTGAAGCAGCAGTTGCCTCCTCACATGGACCCTATTTCGCTGCCCTGCTCTGCAGGAATAACACTTATTCTTATAAACTTCTTATACTTTAAGTCCAAAGTTGTTTCTCCCCCTTCTTCTTCAGAATTTAGAACATTTTAAGCCTCTCACCTCTCAGGTTTTTCTTCAGGCCATGAAGTAGAAGTTATCCATGATTCCCAGCCGTCCCAGCCACAGCACCAGACATTCCCCTTGCTCTGCTGGTGGAAGAGATGAAAATCAGCTTCCAGGGTCCCTGTTTGAGCCTTTTCATTCAAGACTTCTTTGTTCATGTGAAATCCTCTTCACAGCTCTCAGAGCACATCAAGTTTTCTCAGCAGAAAACCAGCTTGAGGAGGCCATCCGTTTCCTGACAGGTAGCACATGGTTTTGCTCTTCACCTTTAATAGCAAACTGAGCAAAGCAAGGCCCAGTTTAATTGCAGAAATGAAATGTCATGCGTGTGTCATGTCATACATCAGTGTCTCCATTACGCCGGGCCTATACACACTGCTTCAAACCCTGTTGTTCCTGTGTTGCTGACAGACCTCAACTGCCTGTGCAGAAGGGACTAAACCCAAGGACTCCTTGGTGTTGTAATAAAACCCCTTTTCACCCTCTGAATTGCACTTCTTTTTTTCCTTTGGTAGAAATGTAAATAAAATGAAGCAAAATCCTCTTTCATTCCACACAGGGCTGAGTAGGACATGGGGGTGTTGGTCAGTGAGAAACTGGACACGACCCAGCCCAGAACCCCCCTGTGCTGGGCTGCATCCCCAGAGCGTGAGCAGCAGAGCAGGGAGGGGATCCTGCCCCTCTGCTGTGCTCTCCTGAGCTCCCACTTGCAGCACTGGGTGCAGTTGTGGGGTTCCCAGCATAGGAAGGACATGGAACTGTTGGAACAGGTCCAGAGGAGGCCATGAGGATGCTCAGGGGCTGGAGCACCTCCTGTATGGAGCCAGGCTGAGAACATTGGGGCTGTTCAGCCTGGAGAAGAGAAGCTGCAGGGAGACCTCAGAGCAGCTTCCAGTGTCTGAAGGGGGCTGCAAGGATGCTGGAGAGGGAATTTTCATCAGGGACTGCAGTGACAGGACAAGGGGTGATGGGTTCAAACTGAAACAGGACAAGTTCAGGTTGGATCTAAGGCAGAAGCTCTTCCCTGTGAGGGTGCTGAGGCGCTGGCCAGGGTGCCCAGAGAAGCTGTGGCTGCCCCATCCCTGGCAGTGTTCAAGGCCAGGTTGGACACAGGGGCTTGGAGCAAGCTGCTCTATGGAAGGGGTCCCTGCCCGTGGCAGGGGTTGGAGCTGGAGGAGCTTTCAGGTCCCTTCCAACACAAACCAGGCTGGGATTCCACGCTTCTATGAGCACTGGTGGTGTGGTACCTCTGTCCCTGTGGCCACTCCTGCGGACATCCCCTCACAGCGGGCCGGGCACTGAGAGGAGCTGACGTGAACCTCGCTCACGGCGCCCATGTGGGGAGGCGGGACGGGAGCAGGGCAGAGCTCAGGGGGCCGTGGAGCAGCGGTGGCGAGCGGGAGGGCAGCGTCCGCCCCTCCGAGCCCCCCCTCCGAGCCCGCCCCTCCGAGCCCGCCCCTCCGAGCCCGCCCCTCCGAGCCCCCCCTCCGAGCCCGCGCATGCGCTCTGCTGCCCCCCCCCGAGTTCACCTGGGCGGTCCCCTCAGGGTGGGCGGGGCGAAGTAGCCCCGCCCCGCTGGCAGGGGGCGTGGCGATGGATGGCGGCGCATGCGCGCTGCCGCCGCGATCCCCTCGGCGCTTGTCCCGTCCGGGTCGCCGTCGGCGCGGGGGGCGGCGGGGGCGGCGGAGGGGCTGCGGTCGCTCCGGTCCCGTTCCTCCCGTTCACCGCCAGCGCTGCCCCGCCTTCACCCCGCTCGGCAGCCCCGGGAGCCCGCTGTCGCCTTCAGCTCCTCGCCGCCCCCCTCCCGGGGGGCTCCGGTAAGCGGCTGCCGCGCTCCGTGCTCCGCGTCCCCTCCTCGTCCTCTTCCTTCAGGCCGGGGCCCTTCGCCGCTCCTGGGCTGGGGCAGGGGGCGGCTCTCCCCGAAGCCCCTCGGGTCCAGCGGGGCCTTCATGGGCGATGTCCCCATCGAGACCCCTCCTTCCCCTCGGTGCGGGGCCTGGGGCCCTTTTGTCCGCTCGCGGTGATGCTGCCGGGGCCGGGCCCCGCGAAGGGCCGCGATCGGCGCTAGCGGAGCCCCGGAGCATCCTGCCCGCCGCCGCCCCATCGGTGTCGGTGAGCTCCGGGCGCCGGTGCCGTGGGAACGGGAGCTGCCCGGCGGTGGTTTGGCTTCGCTGCTGCTTTTCTTCCCCTTCCCCTTTCTTATGCGCACCCCTTTGTAACCTGCTTGTGGCCGGTGGCTTTCCCTGTTCTCCAGGAGGTGCAAACCGGAGGCAGGGCTTTAGCACCTACTTGCTGATAGCGCAGGGATGTGACACACCATCTCCTGCATAGAGACCTGCCGCTTGTGTGGGGTCCTTCAGAGCGGTTCCTCCGCAAGCGCATAACTCCATCCCCAAACCATCTGGCTGGGGGTTATTACCGGCTCCCATGTTACCTCTAAACACAGCAAACAAAAGAGCTGGTGTCAGTTGAGGCTGTGATTCCAAAGGCCAGCAATGGTGCCTTGGGAAGAGCTGCAAAAGAAATGAACAGAAAGGAAGCAAATCCCAGCACGGTGCCAGTGTCCAGCATTGTCAGACTGGGAAGTGTGGTTGAGTCTGACCTGTGCTGGTCAGAGCAACTTGTAGTGACTGTTGCAGAACTGGGTTACGTGACCATGTGTTGTTGGGCCAGAGCTGGACCAAGAGGTATTTTGACACTTGAAGTCTTTGCATTTTAATGTGTTTTACAAAGTAGAGCAGGTCTGTCAAATATGTCCTGCAACAGTGCTGCTGGTTTGAAGCAGTATAATGTGGTACTTATGTGCTGGTTTCTCTTGAGAAATCATGTAGGATATTTACACTGAGTTGTTTTTTAACTACAGCTTGTTCAAAGCTGGGGTCCTCTGGATTTTGCCTTTATGAAAGCATCTGGTAATGGAGAGAATGCTTAAGAGCAGCTGAATGCCTTTTTCTTTCCTTCCTCAGTTGCTCTGGTTTTGGGCTGCCTTTCAGGATTTGATAGATTTCCCAGCAGAAGGGACAGCAGGGAACTGCTGGAGTTGTTTCTGCCAGAGTTCCAGAAGGAGAAACTTCTGGATGAGATGCTTCAGAATGGTATTTCTGGATTTTCAACCTTTGTTAAAGGTAGAGTGTATTGGGAGAAACAAACCCTTGCAGGACTGCCTGAAACTGCGGTTTTTTGAGGCATCGTGTTTCTTAAGTTTCCTTCCCTCTTATTTTCAGATCAAAAATGTTCAAAACAGGAAGTTTGGCTTGTGTTTTGTAAGCCCTGTCTCTGCTTAGTTGTAGCTTAGACAGCTGTTGGCAGTGGTAAAACCTGAGCTCTGTGATTCAGCATCACTTCATCGATTGCAGCTCTTGGAAGGTTATTTGTTATTTCTAACATTAAGTGTTTCCTCCCTTTTCCTTTCGTAACAGCCATGGCAATGACGGGCCCCACGCCGTGCTCCTCCATGAGTAACCACACCAAGGAGCGAGTTACAATGACAAAGGTGACGTTGGAAAACTTCTACAGCAACCTCATTGCGCAGCACGAAGAGCGAGAGATGAGGTAAAAATCTTCCTTTCCAAACTGGTTCAGAGCCAACCAGACACATAAACTGCATTTAGATTTCTGGGGTCAAAGCCAAGCTAGGGTGGTTTTGCTAAGTGTGTGCCTGGGCACCTGGATGGGGCTTGGTATGAGTAGCCAGGGCTGCTGGGTCTCTGCATCCCATGGGAGTTTAGGCTGGAGCTGTTTGAGTTTCTCCTGAAACATGCACTTGCAAAAGTGATGTGACGGTTACTAGTTTAAGAACCCCAGGTATTTGGTGGTGTGACTAAGCAGAAACTAGCTTTAGGATGTGCTCGGGATCTTTAAAGTGCAACTCTGAAGTAAAGCCAGTGTTCACAAGTGTTTATCTTGCCCCTGTTCTGCTGCCTCTTCCCATTTTATGTCCCTAGTTGTAGTATTTAAAGCTGAATCTAGAGCATCACATTCAGTCTGGATTATAATGTGCCATCAAGTTGACTGATAAAGGAAGATAATCTTTCCAGCTACAGTGAGGGATTGCTGCTGTAAGGACCAAATGCTGGTTGTCTCTGTGAGTTGACTGAATGTATGGCCCCAGAGTGAGCAGGTTGAGAGAGGGGATCCTGCCCCTCTGCTGTGATCTGGGGAGAACCCCCCTGCAGCCCTGACCCAGCTCTGGGGCAGCAGCACAGCGTGGAGCTGCTGAGTGAGGCCAGAGGAGGCCATGGAGATCTGCAAGGGCTGGAGCAGCTCTGCTCAGCTGGGCTGGGGCAGCCTGGAGAAGAGGACGTGAGAGAGCTGTGAAGGGGCTGCAGGAAAGCTGGAGAGGGGCTTGGGACAAGGGGTGTAGGGCCAGGCCAGAGGGGAATGGAGGCCATGGAGATGCTGCTGAGGGCTGGCACAGCAGAGAAGCTCTGCTGGCAGTGTTCAAGGAGACACCAGGCTGAGAGAGCTGGGCTGGGGCAGCAGTCAATGATGTCTGTCAAATATAGCATGTGATTTAAGAGAAGGAACTCTCTCATTTGCTGAATACCCTCCAGTGGTGGCACTGGGACTTCTGATGTTCTCCCAACTTGCTGTGTAGTCTGTAATCAGAATTTTGAAGAAGGTTCAGTGTTTGCTCACTTGCTGACTTGCTGCCAAAAGGGAATGCCTGCAGGAAAGCAATAAATGCTAACTTGCTTGGATACCTTCTTCAAAGTTTCAAATTAGTAAGGAGAGATTGAGGTCTGATCCAAACAGCAAATATCACTGACTTAATTCCTTCCTTTCTTCTTGCAAGGCTCTTTTCCTGGTTTCAAGGGATCAGGGTATTTTCTGTTTGGGATCAAGACTTTGTCTGAACCAACATACTGGAAGTCAGGCTGGGAAAGTTGGGGCTTTTCAGTCTGAAGAAGAGACCTCAGAGCAGTTTCCAGTGTCTGGAGGGGCCTACAAGGATGCTGGGGAGGGACTCTTCATCAGGGACTGCAGTGATAGGACAAGGGGTAATGGGTTCAGACTCAGGTTGGATCTAAGGCAGAAGCTCTTCCCTGTGAGGGTGCTGAGGCGCTGGCACAGGGTGCCCAGAGAAGCTGTGGCTGCCCCATCCCTGGCAGTGTTCAAGGCCAGGTTGGATGGGGCTTGGGTGAGGTGCCCCTGCCTATGGCAAGGGGCTTGGAACTGGGTGATTTTAAGGTCCTTTCCAACCTTAACTATTCTATGATTCTGTAACTTTAAGTTACATGGGGGTTTTTAGCAATAGTTGTGTCTGTGGATGTTTAGTTTGGAGTTTGAAGTGGTGCTGACAAAATCCATGCTGAAGTGCAGACAGGACCTTTTAAGGATATTTGGGGGCATTTCACCGTCACTCAGTCACGCTGAGCTATTTAATTCTGCTTCAATTCAGTTGTTATTTGCTTCTGGAGTTGCTTTTGAGTGTGAAAGGACAGAGCTCACTGGGTGCTTAAAGAAGAGCAAAGCCATTTAAATGGGCCTGATTGTGAATGTGATAACCCCAAATATTATCGCATTGCAGCAGCTGCGTGGTGGCACAGGAGACAGGAAGAGGATCTTGCAAAGAATGACTTGCATAAAGGGAAGGAATTTTTGAGTACATTTTTAATGTTCTACCAATAAAACACCCATGGAGAGGGAAAACAAAGCAAATGGCAATCCCAGTTCAGCCAGTTATTAATATGATTGCTGTTGGGAAGAGGTTCCCAGAGGATGAAGGTTACAGATGTCCCCCGAAGCCATTCCTCTTGCTGAAGTCCTGCTTCCTTTTCTTCTTTTATCCCAAATAATCCCTTTGTATTAAGGCTGTAAATATTCCTGATTCTTTAAGGGCACAGTGTGGACAGATGTGTTCTGGCTTCCCAAAGATTTTGTTTTTCTCTTAGGAAATACCAAGTAACTTCTCATTTTGCATCTGATGAGTTTGAGATGCAGAGAAGTTGCAGACCCACAGATGTGTTGAAATAGCCAATTCACCCTGCAATAAGTGAGGCTTTTTGGTGTTTAAAGATTTATTGCACCTCTGGCCTTAAGTGACTTACCCAGCTGTCAAAGAGAGGCAGGAATTGACCCAGATCTTGATCTGCATTCATATACAATGAAAATATACACTTGAGTGAGCTGTGAAACTTGAGGTGGGTTTAGATTGTCAAAATTCGAGAGGACAAGGCTAGAATGGTAAAGATTCTTCAAGATTAATCTCATGTCCAAGTCTCCCTTATATATCATTTACACTCGGTATTTGCTGGCATTTGCTTTCCAGCAAGCCTAGTCCAGATGTGTTGCATATGTGAATGGGATACAAGAAACAGCCTTAATGATTCATCTTTCTACTTGCCTCTGCTCTAGACAAAAGAAGCTAGAACAAATGATGGAAGAAGAAGGCTTGAAAGATGAAGAGGTAATGAATATGGGAAAACTATCTTAGTGGTTGCATACCAGTGATTTTCTTTCATAACTGAAGATCTGGGATCTTGGAATCTCTGTCACCTCCACGGAGCCCACCTGCAGAGGTCTCACTGTGGTTTGTTCTTTTCCTAAACTCTAGAAAAGAATCAGGAGATCAGCACATGCACAAAAGGAAACAGAGTTTCTTCGCTTGAAGAGAACAAGGCTTGGCTTGGAAGACTTTGAGTCTTTAAAAGTCATAGGCAGAGGAGCATTCGGAGAGGTAAGTCTAGAAAAGATGACTAACCTTGTTTTTGAATGACACTGGTATTTGTTAAAAGACTTGCATAGTTTATACAAATGGAAGATGTAACAACCACACATTGATTTTTAGCTTAACAGTCACGTGCATCTGTCTTTATGCCTAATAACTGCTGTTCTAAACCCAGCGTGTACTTCAAAGGAACATGGATGCTGTTGAGAAGGACTTCATAAGTAAGCTCAGTACAGGCTTGGCAATCCACCTTCATTGTGGCCTCCTGGGCTAGCCTGGGAGATGGGGAGGGCTGGAGAGCTGCCTACAGTAGTGTCTTCTGGTGGCCTCCTTCAGTGAAGGAGGCTTTGCACCATCTGCTGTAGGTGTCCAAGTGCTCAGTGTGTCGTCTCTTCCACTTGTTTGCCGTTGCTGTGCCTGTGTTAATGGCTTTTGGCTGTTACCATCTGATTTCATTAAACGAAAGCCAAGGGCTTGATACCCAAATGTGTCCAGAGCTCAGGTGACAGCGTGTACCTGATTGAATCCCTGGCATGTTCCCAGGTGCGACTCGTCCAGAAGAAGGACACGGGGCATGTTTATGCAATGAAGATACTTCGGAAAGCTGATATGCTTGAGAAAGAACAGGTGAGTGTCTGCCTTGAGTAGCAGCACTGCCACGGTGTTTCAGGTGACCCTGGGAGCTCGTTGTGATGTGTGGAGAGGGGTAAGAGGCAACCGTGGTTCAGGTTTATCAGCTGCAAGATTGTGTTGTAGGGTTTTTCCCCCCTTTCTGATGGAGGAATGACTTCTAATGCCTTGCTTAGTCCTAATGGAAATTGCAGTTGTGACCTCTTTATAAGAGGTTCTTCAGTCTGAAGTGGAGTAGGACTGAGCATGTTTTCTGCTTGAAAACCAAGGGAAGACAAGTGTTTTTTTAAGGACTAGTTTGTTTTTCTTCAGTGAAAGAAAGGGACAGTTCTATGTGTCTGATATATGTTCTTCTTCCTCATTTCATGACGATGTTACACATACACATGTGCAAATGATTCAGTACAGGCTTCAGGATGGGTGTGTTACTGCATTCCTGATTTATGGAATTGGATATAAACATCAAAGTGATATGACTGCTGGAACTCTGACTCACAGAGACATAAAGTAGCAGTGTTTAATATTTTTAAGGCTTTCCTCTGCTAGTACTTCTGGGAAGAGAAGGCTCCTGAAGGGGAGACCTGAGAGCAGCTCCAGTGCCTGAAGGAGCTGCAGGAAACCTGGAGAGGGGCTTTGGACAAGGACCTGTAGGGACAGGCCAAGGGGAATGGCTTGAACCTGCCAGAGGGGAGACTGAGATGAGCTCTTAGGCAGAAGCTCTTCCCTGTGAGGGTGCTGAGGCGCTGGCACAGGGTGCCCAGAGAAGCTGTGGCTGCCCCATCCCTGGCAGTGTTCAAGGCCAGGTTGGACACAGGGGCTTGGAGCAAGCTGCTCTAGTGGAAGGTGTCCCTGCCCGTGGCGGGGGCTGGAGGAGCTTTAAGGTCCCTTCCAAACTATTGTATGATTTATTTCATAGACAATGCGTCTGATAAAAGACACATTTGTAATTAATCGAATCCATATGTGTATCTCCAGGTTGGCCATATTCGTGCGGAGCGGGACATTCTGGTGGAGGCCGACAGTCTGTGGGTTGTGAAGATGTTCTATAGTTTCCAGGACAAGCTAAACCTCTACCTTATCATGGAGTTCCTGCCGGGAGGTACCTGCCTGGAATCAGGCTGCTTTCCTTTCATTTCCTTTCCTTTGGTTTGTGGATTTCTTAATAATAATTGTCATTAAGAATTAATTTCTTAATAACAAATGTAGCCTGGGACTAGACCATATGTGGGTACTGTGCAGGTGTTACTTTGTGGGGAAACAAGTCATTGTAAAGCTTTCTGCTTTTAGGAGTTGGGGGCCTGAGGTCTTTGGGTGAGGCTCGAGGTTATCTGCTCATTTATTCTAGCTGCAGATCATTGAAATTGGCCTTAATGTTCTGTGAGTTCTTAACCCTCCTGCACGCTGGCCATGGGTAGAACCATGACATAACCAGGTTTTGGTTTTCCAACCTTTTGCTTTTAGCTGCATTGCCACAGAAATAGCTTTTCAGGTCCATTTTTATTCCAGAGGATGATGTTTGTCCTTCAGTGTTAATGCTGTTGTAACTTAAGAAATCAGTTATCCTGAAAGCCTGTGCGGGACTAATGAAAGCACGGGAACGCTTTCTGAGATGCACAGATGCAATCTGTTTTCTGTAATAGCTCTGTCGCTGAAAGCATCTATTTTAATCTGTGATTCGGGTGTGTAATGAGCAGGGCAGCCCAAGGCTGACTCTTGTTTCAGGGATGCTTCTGTACTGCTATTTTATCCTTATGCTATTTGGCTATGTTGATAAGTTTAAGGCAGCTACAATAGAAGCCTTTTCACATACAGTGATACCAGGGCTCCTCGCTACAGGAGAGACATTGAGGTGCTGAATCGGGGCCAGAGAAGGGCAGCGTAACTGGTGCAGGGCCTGGAGCACAAGTGTGATGGGGAAGGGCTGAGGGACCTGGGGGGTTCAGGCTGGAGAAGAGAAGGCTCAGGGGGGACCTGATGGCTGCCTACAAGTGCCTGAGAGGAGGATGGAGCCAGGAGGGGCTGGGCTCTGCTCCCAAGGAACAAGGGATGGGACAAGAGGTGTCACAAGCCTGCCCCAGGCACATGCAGCTTCTGCCACAAGGGTCTGAGACCAGGCACTGCCCCATGCAGCCACATCCTGCTTCAAGCTACACCAGAGGAGGTTGAGATGGAGCTGAGGAACAATTCCTGCCCCAGAGGGTGCTCAGGCATTGGAACAGGCTGCCCAGGGCAGGGCTGCAGTCACCGTCCCTGCAAGTGTTCACACAGTGTGGAGACGAGGCCTCAGTGCCATGGGTTAGGGGTGGCCTTGGCAGTGCTGGGAATGGTTGGACTGGATGAGCTGAAAGGGCTTTTCTGAGCTGGTTGATTCCATGATTCTAAGGGAAAATACCAAAGCTTGTCCCAGAACTAGGAACTCTCTTATTTTGTATGAAATGAGGTTGGATTTGCTGAGGTTTGAAATAGCTTAGTTCTGTTCTCTGTAGGTGTCTTCAGAATTGCTAAAAGTGGAGTTTCTGTGTTCACTTTTGCTGTTTGTGGGGTGGCTTCTAGGTGACATGATGACATTATTGATGAAAAAAGACACTCTAACAGAAGAAGAGACCCAGTTCTACATAGCTGAGACTGTGCTGGCCATTGATTCTATTCATCAGCTGGGTTTTATCCATCGGGACATAAAACCAGACAACCTTCTTCTGGATAGCAAGGTATGTAGTAACCAGGGGCTGGGTGGTAGTGGATAGGTCTTGTAGTTTTGAATAGTGACCTGAACTGGTGTTAACAGTTGTGAAAGGAGATGGTGCTTCTTTCTTAGCCCTGTTCCTTCCAGCTTTTGAGGGCATATCTGCTGGGGGCAAAAAGACAAAGCAAAGCCAAGGCAGACCCCTCTTGCATTCACACCTCACTTAGGAGCTCTCTTCTGGCAGGTGTTGGAGGTACTTTTGGTTATTTCAGCTGCAATATAAAGCTCAGTTTCAGTTCTTCCCTTTTAGTCAAAGATGTTTCCTTTCTGTCTCACATCTGTACGCTCCCACTTGCCAACTCTTGGGTGGATGATCATATCCAGTGTGAAAGACATAGCTGTTCCATCAGTGAGGCTCAGGACAGAGATATTGTCTCCCTCAGACCAAGGTGTATTTCTGAGGCTGGCCGGGTTACCTGAGTGCCTCCAGAAGGCGTTTGCAGGCAGTTGGCAGAAAGCTTGGCCATTTCAGTATCCTCCTCTTGCTCACTACAAGTTTGCTTTACATTTAGCTCACTTGGTAAAAGGTTGTCAACAGTAAATACTTTACCACTAGCCAGGTAATGCACAATTGGAATTACTGAGGTAGAATCACAGAATCATAGAATCGTTAGGGTTGGAAAGGACCTTAAGATCATCAAGTTCCAACCCCCCTGCCGTGGGCAGGGACACCTTACGCTAAATCATCACCCAAGGCCTCATCCAACCTGGTCTTGAACACTGCCAGGGATGGAGCATTCACAACCTCCCTGGGCAACCCATTCCAGTGCCTCACCACCCTGACAGGAAAGAATTTCCTCCTTATATCCAATCTGAACTTCCCCTGTTTCAGTTTGAACCCGTTACCCCTTGTCCTGTCACTGCAGTCCCTGATGAAGAGTCCCTCTATAGGCCCCCTTCAGACACTGGAAGCTGCTCTGAGGTTTCCACACAGCTTCTCTTCTCCAGGCTGAACAGCCCCAACTTCCTCAGCCTGTCTCCATACAGGAGGTGCTCCACCCCCTGCTCATCCTCGTGGCCTCCTCTGGACTTGTTCCAACAGTTCCATGTCCTTTTTATGTTGAGGACACCAGAACTGCACACAATGCTCCAGGTGAGGTCTCACAAGAGCAGAGCAGAGGGGCAGGATCACCTCCTTCAACCTGCTGGTCACGCTCCTCTTGATGCAGCCCAGGATACAGTTGCTTTCTGGGCTGAGAGTGCACACTGAAGCCGGCTCATGTTCATTTTCTCATCAACCAACACCCCCAAGTCCTTCTCTGCAGGGCTGCTCTGAATCTCTTCTCTGCCCAACCTGTAGCTGTGCCTGGGATTGCTCCGACCCAGGTGTAGGACCTTGCACTTGGCATGGTTAAACTCCATGAGGTTGGCATCAGCCCACCTCACAGGCGTGTCGAGGTCCCTCTGGATGGCATTCCTTCCCTCCAGGGTATCAACCGAACCACACAGCTTGGTGTCATTGGCAAACTTGCTGAGGGCACGCTCAATCCCACTGTCCATGTCAGCGACGAAGATGTTGAACAAGACCGGTCCCAACACCGATCCCTGAGGGACCCCACTCGTTACTGGTCTCCAGCTGGACACTGAGCCATTGACCACAACTCTTTGTGTGCTGCCATCCAGCCAGTTCTTTATCCACCGAGTGCTCCATCCATCAAATTGATGTCTCTCCAATCAGAGACAAGGATGCTTTACACGAGTCCAGGTAGATGATGCCATCAACTGCTATACCCCTGTCCATCAGTTCTGTAGCCCCATCCTGGAAGGCCACCAGATTGGTCAGGCAGGATTTCCCCTCAGTGAAGCCATGCTGGCTGTCACCAAGCACCTTGTTGATTTTCATGTGCCTTAGCATGCCTTCCAGGAGAACCTGCTCCAAGATTTTGCCAGGTGCAGAGGTGAGATTGACTGCTCTGTAATTCCCCGGGTCATCCATTTTCCCCTTCTTGAAAATGGGGGTTATATTTCCCTTTTTCCAGTCGTTGGGAACTTCACCTGCCTGCCATGATTTCTCAAATATGATGGCCAGCGGCTTCGCAACTTTATTCTCCAGCTCCTTCAGGACCCGCGGATGGATCTCATCAGGACCCACGGACTTGTGCACGTTCAGATTTTTAAGATGGTCTCGAACCAGTTCCTCTCCTACAGTGGGCACAAGGTCTTCATTCTCACAGTCCCTGCATCTGCCTTCCAAGACTTGGGTGGTGTGGTCAGAGCCTTTGCCAGTGAAGACCGAAGCAAAGAAGTCATTCAGAACCTCAGCCTTCTCCAAATCCTGTGTAGCCAGTTCTGCCGAGAGCTTCCTGAGGGGGCCTGCGTTCTCCCTAGTCTGTTTTTTATTTGCTATGTACCTGTAGAATCCCTTCCTGTTGTCTTTAATACCTCCAGCTAAGTTTAATTCTAACTAAGCCTTAGCTTTCCTAACCTGGTCCCTAGGTTCTCGGACAACATCCCTGTACTCTTCCCATGCCACCTGTCCTTGCTTCCACTTATTATAAGCCTCTTTTTTCAGTGGAATTTTCCTCAGCAGCTCCTTATCCATCCAAGGAGGTCTCCTGGCCCTCCTGCTGCACTTCCTTCTGGTTGGGATGCAACACTCCTGAGCTTGCAGCAGGTGATCCTTGAATATCAACCAACAGTCTTGGGCCCCCCTGCCCTCTAGGGCTGTATCCCATGGAACCTTCCTAAGCAGGTTCCTGAAGAGGCCAAAGTCTGCTCTTTTGAAGTCCAGGGCAGTGAGCTTGCTGCACGCTCTCCTCACTGTCCTGAGGATCTCAAATTCAAGCATCTCATGATCGCTGCATCCAAGGCTGCCCTGGAGCATCACATTTCCAACTAGCCCTTCCCTGCTGGTGAGCACGAGGTCAAGCATGGCACCTCTCCTTGTCGGCTCCTCTATTACTTGCAGAAGGAAGTTGTCTTCCACACAATCGAGGAACCTGCTGGATTGCTTGTGCCGGGCTGTACCGTCCTTCCAGCAGATGTCAGGGTGGTTGAAGTCACCCATGAGAACAGGGGCCTGTGAGCGTGAGGCTTTTCCTATCTGTCTATGGAGGGCTTCATCTGCAGGTTCTCCTTGATCAGGTGGTCTGCAACAGATCCCCACAGTAATGTCTCCCATAGCTATATTCCCTTTAACCCTGACCCCCAAACTCTCTGTGGGCTGCTCACCTGTCCCCAGACACAGTTCCATACTCTCCAGCCTATCCCTAACATAAAGGGCAACCCCCCCTCCCTGCCTGCCAGGCCTGTCCTTTCTAAAGAGCCTGTAACCTTCCATCCCAACACTGCAGTCGTAGGAGCCATCCCACCATGTTTCTGTGATGCCTGTTATATCATACCCCCGTAGACGTGCCCACATCTCTAATTGCTCTTGTTTGTTCCCCATGCTACAGGCATTTGTATAGAGGCATCTGAGCCGAGCTCCAACTGAAGCCGGCTCCTTGGCTGGAGCGGCTGGGATATCTCTGCATTGCTCCAAGCATTTATTATAGGTGTTGGCAAATGACTGGGTGTGTTGGGATGGAATGATGCCCTCCTCCCCCAACACAACTAGTTTAAAGCCTCCTTGACCAGCCTGGCAAGCCTCCTACCAAAACTGCTCTTTCCCTTCTTTATCATCAGAGCAGCTCCACCAGCCCCCACTAGACCTGGCCTACAAGCTTGGGTCCCGTGTTCAAGACACCCAAACCCCTGACTATGGCACCAGCCTTTTAACCAGTTATTAACCTGGCCAATCCTCCTGGCTTTTGTAGGTCCTCCCCTGTGCCCTGGAGAATTGATGAAAAGACCACCTGGGCTCCAGAGGCCCTAACCACCTCCCCCAGGGCTCTGTAGTCCTTCTTTATGTTCCCCATGCTACTACTGTCTATATCCCTAGCACCCACATGTATCACCAGGAGTGGGTAATAGTCCGTGGGACTTACTAGAGCAAGCAGCCTCTCTGCCACATCCCTGATCCGTGCCCCCGGTAGGCAACACACCTCCCTTGAGACAGGGTCTGGCCAGCAGACGAGTGCTTCTGTCCCTTTCAGTGTAGAGTCCCCTACTACTACGACCCGCTGCTTTTTCCTGGCAGCACCAGTAGAGTTTTTCTTCACCAGTGCATCAGCTGGCTGTTTCTGGCTCGAGTGCGCTTCCTCATCAGCCCCCTGCAGGACAGCAGAGCGGTTCTGCGTGGGGACAGGGGATTTAGGGGGCAGCCCCTTGCTTTTGGTTGTCCTTTTCCTTCTTTTTTTTTCGTTATTTGTCACTAATTCCCAGCTTCCCGGGTTAACGGCCTCCTTCTTTCCTTCATGAGGCAGAGGTGAAGCTCGAGGCCCCTGCACAGGTTGGGCCAGGAGCAAGCATTCCTGCTTCCCCTCAGCTTCCCTGACATCCCACAGTCCATTAACAGCATCCCGCGGCTCAGCCCCTGCTGCAGGAGCACCTCCACCAGGGAGCACCGGGTGCAGCCCTGCCCCTTGTGCCCCCTCCCGTCACCAGACCAGTGCAGGCACTCTCTGCACCCCGAGCTCTGCGCTGCAGCCTCCCCTCTCATCGGCTCTGTCTGGGTGCTGACGCAGCCACCGCCGGGGCAGCCAGAGCAGAGCTCCCGGACCGGGCCCTGCTCAGGACAGTGCTCCCCATCACACAATGAGCGCTCCCCATCACACAATGAGCGCTCCCCATCACACAATGAGCGCTCCCCATCACACAATGAGCGCTCCCCATCACACAATGAGCGCTCCCCATCACACAATGAGCGCTCCCCACCACACAATGAGCGCTCCCCATCACACAATGAGCGCTCCCCATCACACAATGAGCGCTCACCATCACACAATGAGCGCTCACCACCACACAATGAGTGCTCACCATCCCGCTCCCCTGCCCGCGCAGACTGCCCCGGCCCTCCCTGCTCCCCGCGCTCCCTGGGCAGGTTTTTACCCCCTCAGGGCTGGTGCCGCTGCTCCTGGCTCCGTCCCCTGTGAGTCCCTGCTCGCCCCAGCGGAGCTGCCGGCTCTGGGCAGGTGCTGTCGAGGACTCAAGGCTCCCTCCGTGGCTCTCCCTGCTCCGAGTTGAGGCTCCTGGACGCTGATCTCCCCCCTTCCCGGTGTTGAAGGCGTCCTCTCTGGAGCTGCTCCCCTCAGCAATTGACCCCATGTAGACATAGGTAAATGAAGGTTTTGGAAAGGATCTGTGTTTTAGATACACATCTGAAAATTGCACCTCTTTGGTGTGGCTGTTATGCACTAAGACAGACCCAGTCACTGAGTTGAAGGTGTTAATTATGGGGGTCAGTGCAAAACCCAGGGACTTGGCTGCCTCTGCAGATATTTGCTGTCACTCTGAAGGGGTCAAAAGCTTGCAGGAGCAGAGGTTTCTTGAAGTAAATAGCTACTGGGCTTTCTCTGTGTTGTAGTGATGAATGTATTGATAGCTTCATTCATAGGATCACAGAATCAACCAGCTCAGAAAAGCCCTTTAAGCTCATCCAGTCCAACCATTCCCAGCACTGCCCAGGCCACCCCTAACCCATGGCACTGAGGCCTCGTCTCCACGCTGTGTGAACCCTTGCAGGGACGGTGACTGCAGCCCTGCCCTGGGCAGCCTGTTCCAATGCCTGAGCACCCTCTGGGGCAGGAATTGTTCCTCAGCTCCATCTAAACCTGCCCTGGGGCAGCTTGAGGCCGTTTCCTCTTGTCCCATCCCTTGTTCCTTGGGAGCAGAGCCCAGCCCCTCCTGGCTCCATCCTCCTCTCAGGCACTTGTAGGCAGCCATCAGGTCCCCCCTGAGCCTTCTCTTCTCCAGCCTGAACCCCCCTGGACCCTCATCTGCTCCTCACAGGATGTGTGCTCTATGTACACATCCGGTCTTAGGCTAAAACCAGCAATGCAAAAGAGTGCATCCCTTTATTATACAAAATAAATGGAGGGGAAGAAGTAGAACAGTTTATTGCTATATATCTTATGGTGTGATCATGTCTCATATTGGTTTTGTGTTTTCTTTTCTTGGCGTGTTATTTGTTTCTAGGGTCACGTGAAACTCTCAGATTTTGGTCTGTGTACTGGCCTAAAGAAAGCCCACAGAACAGAATTCTACAGGAACTTGAACCACAGTCTTCCCAGTGACTTCAGTGAGTGCTTTGGCTTCAGAAGGCATTCTGTGTACCGACAGCCCCTCTCAATGTGAGGCTGTAAGGCTGCAGTGAGGGCTCTTGTGACCAGTATTGCTTCTTGAGGTGTAGTTTTCATTTTCTGGTAGCAATTTCAGTTCCTTTAAAACAAAATCATCTTCCTGTTGTCTTTGAAATAGACTCTGCTGCAGCCCTTCTTCCTGTGTGAAATAAAGCTCGAATGAACACTGTGTGACTTGGTAGATGGTGGCTTATCTCGGGTGATGTTTAAATGACTAAGTGAGCACAAAATCTGTTCGAAGAGTCAGTCGTTTTCTCAAGAGGATAACTTTGATCATGGGCTGCTAATGAAAAGCTTGATAAAATTTTATTGCTACTACATAGGTTTGGAACTTGCTGGTGGGTTGAGGGTGTCGACCTGGGTAAGGCCCTGGCTGCCTTTTTTGTTGTAAAGAACTTTAGTGTAATGGTTTGGTGGTAAAAGTGTATACTGGGGGACCAGTGGGATTCAGTCACATACATCCTGATCTCTTTCAGCTTTCCAGAACATGAATTCCAAAAGGAAAGCAGAGACGTGGAAGAGAAATAGACGGCAGTTGGTAAGTACATTTCACCTGCTTGGTGTTCTCTGCTGAGCTGTTCCATTCAAATAGCATGCATTTAAATGACAGCGATTAATCCAGAGGTCTGAACAATGCCGAAATAATAATTCAGAAAGAAATAATGCTTTCTCTTTTAAAAAGAGGAATGACTCTCATTTGTCCTTCATCCGTCTGCTGAACAGCTGGTGACATATGTGCCTGCGGTGGCACTGTCATCATTATTTACATTGATAGCTGATGCCTCCCGGCTAAAACAGTTCTTAGAATCATACAATGAACACTGATTTGTGTTCAAAGGGACCTTAAAGCTCTTCCAGCTCCAACCCCTGCCACGGGCAGGGACCCCTTCCACAGAGCAGCTTGCTCCAAGCCCCTGTGTCCAACCTGGCCTTGAACACTGCCAGGGATGGGGCAGCCACAGCTTCTCTGGGCACCCTGTGCCAGCACCTCAGCACCCTCACAGGGAAGAGCTTCTGCCTCAGAGCTCATCTCAGTCTCCCCTCTGGCAGGTTCAAGCCATTCCCCTTGGCCTGTCCCTACATCCCTTGTCCCAAGCCCCTCTCCGGGTTTCCTGCAGCCCCTTCAGGCACTGGAGCTGCTCTCAGGTCTCCCCTTCAGGAGCCTTCTCTTCTCCAGGCTGCCCCAGCCCAACTCTTTCAGCCTATTTCCAAAGCAGAGGTGATGCAGTGATGACCCTTCCAAGATGTGTATTAACAGTGGTACCATTCCCCTGTTGGTATTTTAAGACTCCTTCACATGAACATGTTGATTTTTGTCTTTCCATGTCTTGAAAAATGCTAAAGAATTTCAGAGACAGCCTGGTGTCTTCCTCAAAACAGGCTCTGTTGGACAAGTTCCCACATCCGTATGAGGCAGCTTTCTCTAATGATGCCTGACTGATGGTGTTTGTTCCAGGCTTTCTCTACTGTGGGAACTCCAGATTACATTGCTCCTGAGGTTTTCATGCAGACTGGCTACAACAAGCTTTGTGACTGGTGGTCGCTTGGGGTCATCATGTACGAGATGCTCATCGGTAAGAGAGGCAGTGCACAGGTTTTAAGCAGGAATTGTGTAGGGTATCAGCTGTATCTGTGTGCTTGGGCTCAGCTGCTCAAAGCATCCACTCTTAGGTGGTTTGTGAGGTGTGCTCTGGCCACTGCATCACAGGCTTCAGCAACGAGGGGAGCTGGTTCTGCTTTGGACAAGGTTGGGTGTTTCTTTCTTTTCAGGTTATCCACCCTTCTGCTCTGAGACTCCTCAAGAAACATACAAGAAAGTCATGAACTGGAAAGAGACTCTGACTTTTCCTCCAGAAGTTCCAATATCTGATAAAGCCAAGGATCTTATTTTAAGGTGCCAGGCATATGGTTTGTCAGTTAATAGAGTACTTTCTTGTCTTGTCAGCTGTGTTATATGCCTCTCAGAGCTTGCTTCACCTGAAAACCCTCTGATGCTACATACTGTTACACACATGCATCAAATGCTGAACTCCCTCGTCAAATATATTTGTCTCTCAGAGGTCATTTAGTGGTTCCTTGACTAAACTGTGCTGAAAAGAAGCTCCCATGTAAGTGCTGCTATTCTGGCAAAATACAGATGTATCTGCTCCTTATTTTGTCTGTGAGCTTCTTATGAAGCAACTTAAATCTTTCTGATCGTGTAAGCAGAGCTTGCTGCTTACAGTAGCAATGGTTTTGCCATTGTAAGCACTGGAGCATACAAATGTATCCCAGTGCATGCTGACTGCTGCTCTTCCATTTATATATCCAGTCCCTTCTCTATTTTCAGGACAGAAATATAAATGTCTAGCTCTTTAGGCTTTATATTGTTCTCCTGCTCTGCACTGGTCCTGAAATAGAAAGGGCACGTTACCCTCTTGGGAAAGAATACCACATCTTAATTGTAGCATTTGACACAACATTCCTAAACATAACTTTGTGTGTTGGTTTTGCTATGGGAGTTCTTAATCTTCTCCATTTATGTGTTAAGAAGCCATAGTAGTACCAGTTTGGAAAGCTGTTCCATTGTGGGATGGAATGCTTTCGTTTTCATTCTTCCTTCATTGTCATTCTTCCTTCCGTCCCAGATTTTGCTGTGAATGGGAGCACAGAATTGGTGCATCTGGTGTGGAGGAAATAAAGAGTAACCCATTCTTTGAAGGGGTTGATTGGGAGCATATCAGGTAAGATGCTTTGCAGCAAAGCAAGCTGCTCTGCTCTATGGGCTGCTTAAAGCCAGTCCCCTTCGACAGAAGGGAGCAGCTTGGTTGGCATTTATCATATCCAGGTGTGGGTGAGAGTGTTTTGGTCCCTGTCTGAAGCTTGCCAAAGTTTAGGTACCTTCAGTCTTTGGTTCTGTTAAGAAATGGGAAGTGGCTGGATCCTGCTTTCTGCTGCCTTTGAAATCTCATTGCTGAATCTGCTCTTCCTGCCAGAGAGAGACCTGCTGTGATTTCCATAGAAATTAAAAGCATTGATGATACCTCAAACTTTGATGAATTTCCAGAATCTGATATCCTTAAACCAACAGGTAAATGCTTTGATTCTGCACATAAAGAATCCTTTTTCTCCAACAGAATAACATAAATTTCCTGTTAATCAGAGAAAGGATCTTACTAGATACTGGCTTCTTTTATTATGATCACATTGTTCGCTTGGTAGCCTTGTGGTGCAAGGGTGTGCAAGCTGTAATATGGTGTTTGGGAGATGGGATGCAGACTTGTAAATGATGCAGGAGCATCTGAGGGTGCCTCTAAGAGGCAGCAGAGCTCAAGTCTCAGCAGGTCCATGAGCCCAACCCTGCAGTGTCCTTTGGGACTACCTAATTCTTGGTGTAGGGGGTAGGGTATGGTGGGACAGGAGGTGAGAAGTTTTGGTGTAAATCTCTAAGGGATCCTTGTATTTACACATCAAAGCATCAAAGCATCATCACACGTTTGCTCCATATGCTTAAAGAACACGTTACAGTGTTTGCCTGGGGTTGAGGAATGGCACACTGAATGCCCAGACTTATGGTTATTTCTTCATTTAGAAGCACTGTGCCCTGGTTGACATCCAGTGTTCTGTAGGAAACAAAACTCTGCAGTCTTCAGGGGGTAACTCTGGTTTTTCTGTGTCTTACCAGTGGCCACCAGCAACCACCCAGAGACTGACTACAAGAACAAGGACTGGGTTTTTATCAACTACACCTACAAGCGATTTGAAGGTCTGACAGCCCGAGGAGCGATCCCATCCTACATGAAAGCAGGAAAGTAATAAATCATTACCTGGCACAACTTCTGAGCCATGGAATTCTGCTCCCGTACTTTGGGTCGAGACCCCCACAAGAACTGCTTCCTTTTTTTAATGAAAACTTGAGGGCTATAAACTCTCGGAGAAGACTTCAGGACCCTGTTTTGTTACACACCCTGGTCGTTACTAAGGACTTTTCCTACATCATTGAATGTTTGTGTCATCTCTGCTTCAGGAGCACGAGGTTGTTGTCTTTTTAAACTCCTTGCCAGTTGTACAGTCTGTTGGGAGAGCATCCCTTCCCTTGGACATGCAAAGCTCTTCATAGGGACTGCTTTGCTAGTCCTGCATGAAGTGAGAAACTCAACCTGCCAATTCTGCCAGCGCTGTCTTCCCTAGTGGCAAAGGACTTCAGCACAGAGGAAACAAAGCAATAATGAAAGCCTGAGACAGAAAACTCTCCAGTAAACTATCTATGTAGTAGGACACAACTCGGATTGCCTTAACCTTAGTTTGTAGTGTTGGTTTTTACTTGGAAGCCTCTCTAATGGCATTTCTCACCTCTGGCGCAGCAGCCTCCAGTTGCAGTGCACTTTACTTGTGGTACTAGGACAGGATTTGACCCTAAAGCCATTTAATGTTTTTGTTCTAAATTAATAATTGCACAACACTTTTTCTTTCTTTGACAGTCTTAGGAGAAACGGGCCAGTTCCTCAGCAAGCACCAACAGTTTTCACTGCCTGTATGCAAGGATGGATCTCTCAAGGCTGCAGATAATGCCAACTACAGCTGGTAACCCAAGTGGAGCTGGAATTAGAGCAGAGAGGAAAGGAAACGCGTTTAACCTGAGCCTTGCTGGGGATCTTGTGCACAGCCTGGTCAGCCAGGAGGCTTCCCGGTCCTGCTGCTGCCATCTTTTGGCCACTTCGAAGATCTGCTGCATCTTCCCTGGTTTAAGGACAAACCCATCTTTCTGTGGCCTTTCTGCCCTTGGTTTTGAGCAAACAGCATCAGATTCGTCCATGAGTCTTGCTGGTGGAGGCCTCCCCGGCTTTTCCTTAAGGAGTTTCTCTTGCTGTGTGGCTGAACCATCAGTCCCTGTAGTCTTCCAAAGAGACAGTGATCATGGGCTCAGTGCTGGGGCAGTGGAGCCCACTTTTCCCCTCTTTTCCTCTCTTATTGCCTGGTGTCATTTCTACAAGTACATTCAGTTATGGTCAGGTTGCTCTCCAGGAGAGCTGGAAAGTGCCTTTCCTTGCCTGGGCATCCCAGAACATGCCTGCAGTTTGGGAGGGAGGATTCTGCCTCAGCTGAGCTTTTGCTAATCCCTTTTTGCTCCACTTTGCACCTATTTTGTAGTTAACTCTGCAAAATGCCTCTGGTTAATGGGTCCAGGGGCAGGAGGCATTAACCTTTGGGCCTGCCTGGTTCCAGTCTTTAGCTCTCAATTAGGTCTACATATACGTGTATAAATGTGATGGGGTTTCTAAAAGCTTGTTATCAATTTGAATTGTCTTGGATTCTTGCAAACTTCCTGGTGCTGAACACTTAACTACATAGCACACACAGACAAAGCTGTTCAGAAACAAAGCCAGAGCACTGTTTCAGAGTCAAAGGAAGCTCTCAGTTATATTTAATCCTAATATTCTAGATTAGGAGGTGAAAGAAAATGAGTTTGTTGTGAAACTTGTTTTAATAGGTGCTTTTTAGGGAATTTTTACCTAGATGTCTTTTGAATTGAGTGCCATTGGTTGGGGGATTGGAGTGCTGTATACACTGTATACAGTGGGTGATAACTGCTTAGCATCCTTCCCCTGACCACTCCTTGTGCTTTTTGTATGTGTCCTAGCAGTTGCCATAAGCAGTGTAGATACCACTTGGATCCTACAAAGCTGAAATGCAAACATAGCCTTAATCAAAGCCCCAGGATCACTGCAGTGAGCAGGGCTTACTCCAATGAACAAGGGCTAACTGAAGCTATGATTTACAGGGTCAGGATTTTCATCGGCTAGTCAGTCATAGCATCCTCTGCTCCCTTTTCCCTTTTTATGGAGGACTGATTCCAACTTCTCAGATTGCTCCATCTCCTTATCCTGCAGGTTTTTTTCCAGCTGTGTGAAGATGTTGCCTTACAAACCACTGGAAAACTCTGAGGTGTTAATATCAAACCAGTCTTAAAACTTCCTAACAGCTTAGTTACTGCCTTAAAATAATGATAATTAAAACCTCCAGGTCCCTTCAAGCTGCTGTGGCTTAGGAATAAATGATTTTTTGGGATAGTAGCTGCATTCTTGGCCCTTTACTGAAAGGGACTGGCATTTTTATTTCTAAATACCAAAGATGAAGTGAAGCAACTCCAACTTGGGATAATTTGCTGTAAAACCAACCCTTTATGGGAACATGGACTGTGCATTTTTAGTGTGTGTGTGTTTGGAATCCTCTGGTTGTTACTTTTTGAGTTAAAGGTCAAGTTTTCCGAAGGCACAAGGAGCAGTTGTCACCCTCGCTCCTGTTGTATTATGGTTGTGTTGTGAGCCTGCTTCCTGCTACAGCTGACACAAAAAGTACAGCATCTTCTTTCCAGGATCCAGCTTTCATTTCGTTTTCAGAGGAACATTTTACTGTGCCTGTTCCATGTTAGCCAAATGTTTTCCTTAGCTCCTGGCTCGTGTATCGAGGTTGTATGTATCTCCTAGCTCTGGTTTTTATTTAAGCTGCAAGCAGTTGCTGGACTTACAGGAGTAATTCCAGTCTGAATTTCCAATGGATCTGAACGTGAGTGATGCTGCCTTCATCTCCGTATCATGCCTAGCACAAAACTGCACTAAGTGTTTCTTACCACTGCGCACTGACTCTGCCTTAACCTGTAAGTCGAAACAAGCACCTGTAAATACTTCAAAGCTGTTACAAAACTGCCCTGTCCAATGGGGCAGGGGAGTGGGGGTTGCTTTTTATGGGACGATCTTTGCATTGTGTTGTGTAAATAAAATCCTCCTAGGAAAGGAATCTCTTGGGTTCTTGTTTCAGACTTGAAATTCATTTTAGAGCCAGGTGCTCAGGGGTGGGAATGCAGCGGCAACCCACGGGCTAAGGACAGGCTGAGAACATTGGGGCTGTTCAGCCTGGAGAAGAGAAGCTGCTGGAGACCTCGGAGCAGCTTCCAGTGTCTGAAGGGGGCTACAAGGATGCTGGGGAGGGACTCTTCATCAGGGACTGCAGTGATAGGGCAAGGGGTGATGGGTTCAGACTGAAACAGGGGAAGTTCAGGTTGGATCTAAGGCAGAAGCTCTTCCCTGTGAGGGTGCTGAGGCGCTGGCACAGGGTGCCCAGAGAAGCTGTGGCTGCCCCATCCCTGGCAGTGTTCAAGGCCAGGTTGGACACAGGGGCTTGGAGCAAGCTGCTCTATGGAAGGGGTCCCTGCCCGTGGCAGGGGGTAGGAACTGGATGATCTTAAGCTCCTTTCTAACCTAAACAAGTCTGGGATTCTGTGACTGTATTTCCTATAGATGCACGGCAGCAATGTGACCCTGTTAAAGTGCTATGTCCAGAAGAATTAAACCTTTCTGGCAGAGTACAACTTGCCTTTGGGCAAGGGTGCACAATCCTGGCCTTACTTGTGGCTGCAGTGTATAAATGTAACTTCATTTTACCAGCTTCAGGACAAGTTGGTTTTCCTCTGTTTTTAAAAGGCACAATAAGCAGTGAGCACGTGGCACTGGAAGCAAAGCTCTGACCATTGTTTTCCTATCAGTCTGTAACATGCCAAAATCCATTGTGGTTCTTAGTTCATTGCTTCACCCTTGTGTCAGCTCTACTTGTGAGTATGAGTTCCTGTCATCATCTGAGTAACTCTCTTGTGGCCTTCTCAAGCCTCATCAAGAAAACCCTTGAGGTGCATCCACCACTGAAGATGGGAATAAAAGCCAGATCTGCTCCAAAGCTGTTTTCATCTCCAGCTGGAGTAGTAGAAGTGGAGAGCAACTTTCACATCGAAAGCAGCATTCTGACTTGGTGTAGATGCTGCACAGCTGCTGGGTTCAGTAGCGTTGTGTCATACCTGCGCTATGTGCTGCTTTTAGAACATCACTGCAATGAGCTGGTAAACTCCAAGTAGTAATGCTTATGTGTGGGTGCTGCACAAGGTCCTGCTCCATCCGCCGGGCTCTGCTTGGTGCAAAACCATTTCTGTGTCTTTGGGGTCCCCAGCCACACTTATGAAGGAAGAAACAAAACCTTCAAGTAACTGACCCCCTGCCCGTTCTTCTACTCCCCATTTAAAATGAGTTTTAGACGAGCCAAGCAAGCCAGGTATAATTTATGCTTTAATACAGAAAAGAAACCATACAGCTGTAGTTCACGCACACCACAGGTAACACTGCAGTAGATCTAGAGGAAGACAAATCTTGACGTACCTGAAGCAGGTGACCATGAGAGGAGAAGGAAAAGCTAATGCCTGTTCTTCAGCTTGATTTAGTGTTCCAATAGAACTCACTCTACTAAAAAAAATAAAGCTCATCTTAAATTCCTTGGGAAAGCCAATAAACTGCAGTGGGCTTTTGGAGGGGTAAAACCGGTGTGGAAATGATGGACGCTGGATACCTCCATCCATGCCAAAGGTCCAACTGATTACCCAGAGGACCAACAAGCTTCAGCAAGGCACTGCCAGTCTCCAACTCTCAGCAACGGCCTGTTGCAGTTAAGTCCCTGTAATCACTGTCCTACTAAACTGGCCAAATCCTTCCAGAGGTTTGCTGATGCTGGGCTCAGGGATGGACACTGGAGGTGTTTGTTTTGGTACTTGGCCGTCAGGTCCCATCGAAGTCAGATGCCTTGACACAATCCTGTGGCTCACCAACACACACATTTCCGGTCCGCAGAACAGAACCATGTGTCATCTCCGGTTGCAAGTCCGCTGGTCAATACCAACAGACATTTACTTCAAACTTACACAGCTGGAAAAACAAATACACACAGAAAAAAGAGAATCCATAGGTCCTGGGGCCAAGCTCCATCACTGCTGGGCAGAGTCTCACCAGCGCCTTCAGCTTGTGGGAATGGCAGGCAATGGGCTTGGTCTGGCCCTTAGCTGGCGGGCTGATGGTCCATGTGTCTTCCTTTCTCTACTACAAAACCAGAAATTCACCTAGAGCAAGAACGGGAAGTGATCGCCACCACCTCTGTGCTGATCCTGAAGGACACTTCTCTATCCCGATCCACTGACACACAGGGAGCATTTTGCAGAAGTCATCAGGTGGAACTGGGTGTCTGAACCACTGGGACCCCCAGGAGGTCCTGAAGTACTTCTGGAAACCTTCCCATAGGCACTTAGAAAAAGAAGAAATCGATTTGCTGCACTTGGGAAAGAAGCTAAGAACAGAAACACTGCAAAGAATAGAACTGTATCCACACAAATGGGAGCTAAATATATCAGCAAGTTGATGCCTTGGCAGAGATTTTGTTACTGCAGCTAAACTCATAAACCTTCAGGAAAATCTGTGCTTGAGATTGTCATGGTACTTACACCGAAAACCCAAACATCCTTAGCAGCAAACAGTAACTTCAGTGCTGTGTCTACCATACACTTTGCAGACAGATGGAGAATACAACCCGATTTGCTTTATAATACAACCCCAGCAACAAAGAATTAAACCTTCCAGGGCAGAGTACCTACCTCTCTTTTGCCAACTACAACCGGGTAACTGAATGTGTAAGTGGTACAGGATTCAACAGCAGCCAACTGCAAGAGAACTGACCTGAACTTAACAACCTTGCAAGGGAGCTCTCTCCCTCCCTTTGAGTGGGTTTCAGCTTTTCTTTGCACCACATTTAATTCTGCTTTGGGTAAATAACCCTCTACACAACCATCAGAACAACCAGAGACCCGTTATGGTTGATGTGCTGCTTGGCTGTGGTGGTTCTGAACTCACTGTGTGCTACTCGGGGTTAATGAAGCCTACAGGTACCTCCACACTGAAGGAACAGGACCATGTGGCTTTGATATAACTCAGCTAAACCAGCCTGGAGTATGTCCCTACTTACAGTCACAACCCTGTTGTCTCTGAATCCAAAATGAACAGAGCCTTAACCACAGACAAGGGTACTGTAATCAGAGCAGCAAAGAAGTGCTGCTCCCAGGTATGTGTATTTTTCTCTGCTGAAGGCTGGTTTCTTACCTGCCTGACAGCAAAATGGTTCAGTCACTTCCAAACTGGGAGAACAGTAGCTGGCCTTTCCAAGCTGCAACAGTAGAGTGCTCCTGGGAGAGTCTACAGAAATACTGACTAAGGGGGATGAGACCAAGGAATTTACTTAGGGAGTAAACTGTCTGTACTGGGAGCTCCTCCACTTCTGTCTTAGCAGGGGGATGGAGGAGACAACTGATAGTCTTTAGCATGCAGTCACTTCTAGAAAGCTTTTTACATCTATTAGGCTACTAAACAGATTGTTGGTAAAATATCAACTACAGTCTCTTATTTTTTTGCTTTTTCCTTCAATATGATCTACTCATTTTGCTGACCTTAACAGACAACATCCCTAAAAACAATGATTCCATCCTATGGAGACGTATATATGGGCAATTCCTGTCACCTGTCAACAGGCATATACAGAACAGCAGTACAACACTGGATGCAGAGCCAGGTGGCAGTGTAAACACATTCCTCCACACTCAGGATTTTGCTGTCCCAACTGTGCTACATTTCTGCTGGTTGATGAAAGAGCATCATCTCTCCTGCTTTGATGTTGGGTCCTTTGTAACTGATATATCACAAAAGCAAAGCTAAGTGCCTAATGACAAAGGAAAGCTTTGTCTTGACAGGCCCAGAATTTCCTCTCTCATGTCAAACAAGATGTTTCAAAATGCTTCTAATCTTCTTCTAGAAGTTCAGGTAAAATACTCAGCACCCACCAATCTGGAAGTCTTTGAAGTAGAAACGAACAGCATCATTTCTTCTTGTTTGAGGAGGTGTTGCTTTTGATTGCACAATTAGACCAGAGTGTGGCTCTTTATTAACATGCTTGAAGTATGACAACATAGTAAGAGCAGGAACGAGGATAAAGCACCCTGCAAGAGTCTGTATTCCATCACCAGGGACGGAACTATGCCGAGACGGTCCCACATCAGCAGGACCATGACCCTGAGCCACCACTAATCTGGTAAATCATTCACAGCCATTTGGGAGAATGGTGCATTCAGCCTGTCCAGTTCATCTACCTGTGGGGGGTGATGCATTACAACCTCCTGGTCCTCTGAAACATCATCACCCACAGTGACAAGGTTTGTGAGGGATTTGCTCCGAACACACTGGAAATCAACGTGACGGCTCTTGCCCTCTTCCTTCTCCCATGACATCTGGATGAAGGGCCGTTGAACGTAGTTGTAGATAACTTCTGAGCGGCCACCAGGCCTCCTCTTCACCTTCTCTTTGCAGGTGGGATACCCTGAAAACACAGCCAGTCAGTCACGTTATACACCTTTGATATGCACAAAGGGACAAGAGGATCCCAGAACAGACAGGTAGGAATGACTATGGGGTCAGGGAGACTTAGGAGATGAACACCCACATTCCACATTTACCATTATTGGTTTTCAAAATTGTTCTTTTTTTCCCTACAAAGGAGTCCAGGAGGGCTGGACACTCCAGCCTGAGGGACCTGGGGGTTCAGGCTGGAGAAGAGAAGGCTCAGGGGGGACCTGATGGCTGCCTACAACTGCCTGACAGGAGGATGGAGCCAGGAGGGGCTGAGCTCTGCTCCCAAGGAACAAGGGATGGGACAAGAGGAAACGGCCTCAAGCTGCCCCAGGGCAGGTTTAGATGGAGCTGAGGAACAATTCCTTCCCCAGAGGCTGCTCAGGCATTGGAACAGGCTGTCCAGTGCAGGGCTGGAGTCACCACCCCTGGAGGGATTGAGCCTATGTGCAGATAAGGCACTTTGTGACATAGTTTAGTGGCTGCTCTGGCAGTGCTGGGGAACAGTTGGATTCGATGAACTTAAAGGTCTTTTCCAACCTAAATGGTTCTATGAGTCTTTAAAAAGAGGGTGCAGCTCTCTGTGTAGCTGTATCAATGTATCAATGGCTGTGCAGTGTTGGCCACTTTGTGAGCAGACCCAGCTACTTTAAAAATAAGACAGTGTCCCAGGACAAAGCACAATGTTCTCTAAGCTCCCTGAGGGAACGCCTGGATCAGCAGGCAGAAGTTTTGGGACTCCTGTTTCCTGTTTACTCACTCCTAAAGAGAACAGTCTTACTGCTCCATGCTACAGATCTTTTCCTTTTCTCTAACATTTAAGCCTCCTGACCAATTTCAGTGTAACATGATAAAGGTGAAGGAACATGCCCAGCTTGTACTCAACACATAAACACTTTGTAAAACACAGAGCAAAGCAGCAAATGCCTTGAGCCCAGAGGAAACCAGGCTTTAGTGTGGAGCCACCTGAAGGAACACTTTACCTTCAATGCCAATACGAATGTTCTTCAAGCCCCGCTCCTTTAAGACAGCTTTTGCCACATCGCGGTTCTCGATGTACTTGAAGAATCTGTACAGCTTGGAGCTGTAAAGGACTGGAGGGATAAAAAAGGGGATTAGAATCTACAAGGAGGGACTTTCTCCCTGGTTTTGACATGCTACAATGTGAAGGTTCCTAAAGGGGGACTACAGGAAACCTGGAGAGGGGCTTTGGCCAAGGGCCTGTAGGGACAGGCCAAGGGGAATGGCTTTAACCTGCCAGAAGGGAGACTGAGATGAGCTCTGAGGCAGAAGCTCTTCCCTGTGAGGGTGCTGAGGTGCTGGCACAGGGTGCCCAGAGAAGCTGTGGCTGCCCCATCCCTGGCAGTGTTCAAGGCCAGGTTGGACACAGGGGCTTGGAGCAAGCTGCTCTATGGAAGGGGTCCCTGCCCGTGGCAGGGGTTGGAGCTGGAGGAGCATTAAGGTCCCTTCAACCCAAACCAGTCTGGGATTCTGTGAGGCGTTGAAAACCAGGTCTGGTTTCCAAGAACTACTCCAGGTGTCTGTTCCCATCACTGTGACTAGCTGCACTTCCTTGGTGGGACGGCAGTGATGCACATTGCAGGCTAGATAGAATGGGTGGTGATGGGTGTGTGAAGCAGAGTGTTCACTCACTAAGGAGCCAGGAAAAAGCTGAGGGGGAAGCAGCAAACAAAAGGAAGATGCAGTGAGTGGTGTCATTACCAATACAGGTGGTCAGACCAAAGCTCTGACCAGGCTCTAGCAGCAGTCAGTTCAGAAGGCACATAAAAAGCAGTGTCTCTTCCTGGAGGAAGACTGCTGTTTGGGCAACATGCCCTATCCTTACAGCCAGATGTGTCTGAGTGCATGCTGAACATGGAGCCAGAAGCACCAGTGCCGAGCCCTTACTTTGTGAGTACTCCTCTCCCATTGGAGGTGGATGATCTTCATCCCAGTCCACGGTGTCTTCATCTGTCAGCACCACAATGTGACATTCACGTTCCCCTTTCCTTGCACTATCCACCATTATAGGCAGAATGAGCTCCTCCAGGTAGCTGTCAAACTGCTTGTGAGCACCGTCGTTGGAGAGCTCGTGTAACAGAGCACCTGGTAATACAGACATCATATGATGAACTGTTTTACACAGCAAGAAAGTATGTCCCAGCTCTACACTTTCCATATACATTCAAGAGCACAGCCTGCATTCTTCTTCACACAAACTGCTTAACACATGTTCAGATGCATCAACAGTCTCCACAGCTCCAGAACTGGCAAAATCAGAGGCATGAGACCGTATTTCCAATGGAGAGGATTACACTGTCAAATCATTACACTACTATTAAAAGAACACCAAGGTCCAATCAATACAGTGGAACAGCAATAGAATGAATTATTCATTACTACACTTAACCTGAATTTCCAGCACCAACCTCTGTCCCTGAAAGCACATTTTCTGCCTTCTCTGTGATCAGAAGAGAGGGTAGGAAATTCCCCCCAAGCCTGTGCTATGATGCCATGCACACCATCCCTGTACAGTCCCTGTCACAGCCTATGTTAAAAGTACTTTTTTTTTGTCAGCATTCCCACCAAAAAGCTGCTCCCAGTCAGATTCCTTCATGACTAGGAACTCTCCACTGCTTTCCAGCTTTGGTGTCCTTGGTTCCTGCTCTGCGCATCACCCTTCAGCTTAAATGATTCATGACTTGCTGGCATATTTTAGACAGGAGTTATAGCCCTGCTTTTAGCCTTCATTTTCTTTGGCTGTAACAGAAGGTCTTCTCAGCCTCTCTTACAAGAAGAGACTATGATTTTTACAAGTTCAATTTGCTTTTTTTGAGCAAAGTGTCTGTGATTCGATCACTTCCCTCGGGACTGGTACAGCACAAAAAGGAAGCTGTTTAAATGCAATGCACAGATGAGTCTTCGTGAGTCCACACCTCCATGCTAAACTAAAGCCCACAATAAAGAACTGCACTGAAGCAGGATCAGAGTGCTCAAACCCATGCAGATGAGCTCCTAAGAGCCAGTTTCTCTCCATACTTACTTAAATCTTGACATTTGATTGTGTTAAAATCAAAGTTTATGCAGAGGTAATCACATGTGTCTCGAAGGTCGGGGATGGAAATCCCATCAGGGCAGTTAATGATCCCAGTTTTGTAATAATCCTGCAAATAAAAGGGCAATTTTGAAATGAAAAATTAAGAATATCTTGGACCCTGATAACTTTTCATTACCGCTTTGTTTTGTTAAGCAACATTTGAGAGTTACAGAGGTTATTTACAGCTCTGTGAACAGTAAAACCGCCCTCCTTGTCCAAGAATTTACATCTCTCTGTCTCTCTGCAGATCCCCTTGGGTCTGATCAACAGTGAGCTCCAGCTAAAACCTTTCCCATGGCAGAGAGTTTCGTAACAGCTCATAGGTTACAACAGTGTGACACAAGAAAGGTAAAAGGCAACATCTGAAATGTTGACTCACACCAAAGAGTTTTAATACAATCACAGTGCAGAACAGGAATAACAGAACATGTCCCAGGCAGCTGCATCTCCCCTGGGACATGGCTCAGTCTGGCACAGATTGTTTTCTTCCATCTGCAAGCATGTCCTTACCAGCACAGTCCGGAAAACAGCTGAGCTGATTCCTTCTGCGATTTCATATTCCCCCTTTTCATTTGGTCGCGTGAAATTGTATTCCCTTCCTGGTCCAAACATTCTGAACAGATAAAAATCTATGTAAGGGCAGAAGTATATTGAAATGCATTCATTCTAGAGATCAATAGGTGCATTGAGGTTAAACAAATCCAGCAGTGACACACATATACAGTAACAAACCCTACATTTAAATCTCTCACATGGTAAATAAGCACAAGAGCTGTCTCAGCTCAGTCATCCTATAACTGGACTCTTGTTACATCTACTGGATTGGATGAAACAAGCCACAGCTCCAAGGGACAGCTCATTCAACCCTGGGTCAGAAAATACCCCAGCAATAAAGCCCTTTCACTGACACTACATGAGATACCCACCACATGCTTTTTGATCCCTTGTTTTACACAACAGCCTCCACAAGGGTCAGTAACTCATCTCCTTTGGTCAGAGATGGGTGAAAGCACTGGCAATACAGAAAATGAGTGCTTCCTATTGTGTCAAAAGGCTCCAACCTTTATGCCATGCTACAGGGAGCTTAGTAAATTCTCTCTGGGGAGAGTATCAAAAGATAACAGAAGGGGGATGGAACATTATCATTTTCCCCATTCTGGAAGGGAGGTTATCAGCTGGGAACAGATGCACTGCTTACAAACACAGCAAACACTTAAACAGAGGCAAAAGGAGACCAGGTCTACCTAAAAGCACTCATTGAAGACAAATAATGTTACCTAGAGAACTACCAACTCCTTCTACATCTGGGCATGTCTTCAAGCCCTCACAGCCAAGTTCTGAATGAGGTCAACCTTGCTTGTGTGTACAGATGACAAACAGACTTTTGGAGTTTGTTCCACTGTAGCAAACATTTAACCCCCTTGAGGTATCTTGAAAACAGTGGAAATGACCCACCTTCCCAGCATGGTGTCAGGGTGAGCAGTGAAAATCTGCGGATTCACTGCAAAGCGAGTGCCATCTACCACGAGCGTCACCTTCTCTGAAGCCACTGGCTGTGAACTGCTGCTTGAGGACAAGGTGCAGCACCCGTGGCGTTCCTGGGTGTTAAAATACTCTGACTGTCTCTTATTTCCATCTTGGAAATGGCAGTTGTGAGTGTCTTCAGGAGCAGACAACATGCTACTGAGCTGGGGACTTACTGGGCAAGGAGTGTGTCGGCATTCAGGATCTAAACCTGAGAGAGACAAATGAATATTGCAAGAGTAAGATATTGAGGATGCTGCAAAACATCGTTTCACTGTAACACTGTAGTAAGAAAAATGAGTTACACAGGGATGTCAATATGTGTAGTGTTACACGTCATAAACTGAGTCATACAGGGATGTCAGGGTAACGTTACATGACATAAAACCACACTGCATTTTAAAACTGAGCCAGCGGTTGGATTGTGAATAAGAAAATTCCTGATGAACCATGATGCCTAATGCTCCTTGTTAAAGCAAGCAGCTTCAGTGTGTAAGAGCAGGAGTCCAGGAATTACACAAGGCCAGAAACACACACAGAGTCCCAGCACTGACAACTACTCTTACAGCAAAGCAGGAGCAGAAGCACACACCATAGTTGATGGTGGCTGATGCTGCTCCATGGTGGGCACACAGCTCTTCAGGAATGTCCAGTTAATGTGCTCAGGAGGACAACTCAGGAGGAGCTGCAAGTTGGCCAGCCAGGGCGTACCTGTGTGATGTTCCTGCTAAAACAGCAAGACCCCAAACTCTGCTGTGGACCATTGTCCCTTAGACCAACCTGGCAAAGGCAGGATACGTATTCCCCACAGCAAACTGCTTTGGGATACTGGATTTTTCCCAAAACACAGCATCCCCCCCAGAAAAACAAAACAACTCTAAAACCCTCTCACTGATAAGGACAATGCTAGGAACATTACCCTCAGTCCTGGGAGCTGCAGCCGGGCTGTGACCTCCTAACACCACGTTGCTTTCTTCTGACTCCTGGACTGCTACCGTTGTGCTCCCCACAGAACAAGTGGGCTCCGGATTTCTCGGCCAGTCTGTGCCAGCAGCACAGTTCACATTCATGCTGGGCCTCCGTGACGCGAGGAGTTGGCTGCGTTTCCTAAGAGAAGAGCTAGGAGAGAAAACACCAGCTTGTTGGTTTTGGAAGAAACTCCCAAGCAATGAATCCCTGTACCTGGAACAACAAGCAAAGCCTCTCAGGCTCAAAAGGTGTTTCTTCAGACACTTAACTGTGTTTCAGAAGGCTAATGATGCTGGTTGTGGCCCTATGCTTACCTAAGGCGAGGGAAATAAAGCTGTCACAGTAATCAGGGGTCTATTTAATCTATAAATCTTTGCTATTAAAAAGTAAGTCTAAAGCCACTGATGCCTTCAGAGGACATGTGTGATCCTGTAACTACCTCCCTGGCAACTGCCTCACCTCCATACATCTCTCTGGATTCCCAGCACTGGCAAAATGAGCTCTGTAACATAGCTATAGTCCAAACCCCAGCATTTTCCCAGCTAACAGCTCAGGCATCGCCTCTTAACCCCTCTGAGGTCTGAAGGAGGCTCCCTGGTCACAGATATTACATTGTGTGGTCTTCCCTTCTTGATTCATCACCCTCCTGTCATACAGTGCTCACTCCAGTGTTTAACCCAACAAAGTCATAGAACCATAGAATGGTTTGGGTTGGAAAGGACCTTAAAATTATCCAGTTCCAACCCCCTGCTATGGGCAGGGACACTTTACACTCAACCATGTTGCTCGACACACACGACACTTGAAGCAATGCCACTCATATCATAACTGTTCTTCCAGCACATGCAAAGACATCTTCTTTGGTCACTTTTCCCTCCTTTCTATCCCCCTACAGATCTCTTTTGCTGTCTCTTTCCCTCATTCTCCCCTTGGCATTGATTTTTTCCTGCTACTGCCCTGGACAAGACACCACTCTCCTTTCTTGGCTGGATGCGTTTCCTTTTCAGTCTCCCAAACACAAAACACTGATTTCCTCATGAATGAATGTTCCCAATTTCCCCCCTGCAGAACAATTGTCCTGTGTCCTTTGCTTGGCTGAATTAAGACTCCAGAGCCCATGGGTGCCATCCATGGCAGAACACTGACAGGGCTGGATACAAACCAGACGCAATCCAGCACTACCAAACCACCACAATGCCAAATGAGAGTTGGAGAGTTTGCTGGGCAGGACCTGCTGAGGAGGAAGGTTTTAATGAGCAGTTCAGTGCTGGCTTTCCACTCAGTTACTGCCATTTCAGTCCTAATTGGAAACTTTCAAAAGGAATAACAATTCCTTCCTCTTGTCCCATCAATCCGACAGGAAGGTGCCAGCATTATCTGTATATAATATAAAGGCGGTGCTTACACCTCATGCCAGGCTCATCAGAAGGAGGACTCCTGGCAGCAGCAGAACCCTGTGAAAAGCTCCTGTATTTTTTCTTTTCCAAAGGCTGCAGCAGCAACACAAGGAGCCTACGAGGGTCATGCGAGTTCCTGCAAACTCAACAGTGTGCAGGGCATCACCATCCTCCTCTCCTCTCCTCTCCCCAAATACCCAATGTTGGATCAGAAACTCCCTCTCTCGACATGTTCCACGCTGGTTTCTTGGACCCATTGCTCTGGCTTGGACCTTGGAGAGACCCTTCACCAGACCCACCAGAAACCAGCCGCACACCATGAATACTGCCTTGTGTTTGGTCACACATGAACAAATCCATCCCCTTCTGCCTGAGCAAGGGGCAACACAACATCCCCATGAATAAACCTGTGCAATGTTCTGCCCTCTTCTCTCATGGGACAGACCAGCAAAGGGAGTAACAGGTCAGTGGGCTGCTGGATGAGGAGCCCCTCAGATCTAAGCAGAACATATCAACTGCCCCACTCTTACAGCTTCAGGACAAACCTCCTGACCCAGGAATGATCTATGTTAATGGACACAGGGGAATCGCTTTAACCAGAGGGGAAACTGAGATGAGCTCTTAGGCAGGAGCTCTTCCCTGTGAGGGTGCTGAGGCGCTGGCACAGGGTGCCCAGAGAAGCTGTGGCTGCCCCATCCCTGGCAGTGTTCAAGGGCAGGTTGGACACAGGGGCTTGGAGCAAGCTGCTCTAGTGGAAGGGGTGCCTGCCTGTGGCAGGGGCTGGAGCTGGGTGAGCTTTAGGCTTCCTTCCAACACAAACCAGTCTGTGACTTTATGTCAAATAGCATTAGAAATGCCTACAGACTGCATTTTCACAACTATCTGGGTGTGATGAATGTTGCCATGCCTGTTCATCACCTTCAGCTTTGAGTTAAACACACGCACAGCTCCAGAGACCCTGTGTGCCAGTCAGCAGAGTCCTCTACTACAACACCTCAGAAACTACTTGTAGAACTACCATCTATATGTCTTGTAGCTTCACATGAGCAACAAGACATGAATTTCCCCTGATCATCCCCCCCCATCCCTTTTCTGCTTAATCCGTTAAGCAGGATTTTAGGACAAAAAGCCCCAACTGTTTGACATTTTTCTCCTCATTCTTGTCTGTTACATAAAGTTCAGCACCAGTGAAAGGTGCTAAAAGCTGCAGTGACAGAAAGATGCAGAAACACAGATACTCTTTGCAATGGTGGTGGCTCTGACCAGCATCAGATCCGAGTTTCCTCATTAAAACTACAGGAAGCCCTGTTGATAATCTGCCTTGGGCCAGGCTAATGCTATTTCCCTGTTCCCTCTTGGCATGCCCAGATCCTACACACTATGCGTCAGCAGAACTGAGGTAAATGAGTAAGGATTCCTTTAGCACAGCTGACTGGGACAATACAGATCCAAACTAGTCATTTTCCATGACAAATACAATGCAATGATACATACAACCCAGCAGGAAAACCAGTACATAAAGACTTCAGAAGGTTCTACTCATGCCTGACCAACTTACAAATGTCCAGGTTTCTTTTCATGCCCAGGATCAAGGTGCACTACCCATAGTGAGAATAAATATCTATAAATAATAATTAGCACTATTCATCTTCAAAGCTTCATACAAATATGAACTGCTCCTTCCTCCTGGCAGCCCTAGGAAGCACTGCAGGGAAGTCTTTTAGGAGAGAAGGACACTGAGAAACATCATCTTCAGGACTAGCCAGAGCATCAGGCTCAGTGTTACACTGACTTGCAACACGTTCACTCCTCGAGCTCACCAGCAATTACCCTGTGGTTAGCAGGACAAACACAAGCAGGTTCCCATCTTCTTCTGAGGTGTGTTTCCATGCACGTTTCTACCCGCTGGTAAGCATCAATTGGCTGGTACCACAGAACTGATCAGGAGCAACCCCACTTCTTAGCTCACTTCTCAGGTGCTTGTTTGGATGCTCAGATCCTGAAGAAGCAGGGAGGGACCAGTCTGAGCTGAAGACTCAGGATTTGTGGGCAGCTGGATTTTGGGAGCTGGGAAGTCAGGAGTAAGAAAAGCCCAATGTCATGCTCAGCACTAAAGCTCAGAGAAAGAGCTCCTGAACAGGCTGGGATTTAAAAGGAAATCAGTGTCACAGTGAGAAATCAAACCTCACATCTGACTCTGGCCATTGGCTCTGCCTAACTTGGAGCACATGGGTCCCTTCTCCCTCCAGGACATGACATTAAGAATAAGCCATGCAACTGAAGCAGCATCTCTGCTCCCCAGCCCACGTGCTGATGGTCACAGTGAAGTCATCTTTATTTGAACTTGTTTTGAGCCAACACTTTTGCTGAGAGAAAAACAGGGAAGTGAGGTTGCTTTTCTAAACACAAACTGGAGACAGTTTTATTTAGCAACATCCTTGGCACAACCGGTTCATGCTGCAAACCTTTTGCAGAGATAGAGAGGCTGAGCCTTGCTCTATGCAACTCTTAAGAAAGAAGGAATTGTACTGGGATATCTTTAGCACATTATCCTTCCCCACCCTAAGGAATCCAAGGCTCGTCCAAGCTTCCCAAGGTATAGTCATTGCCTGGCTACTGGAAGGAACCAAATGGCTTAACTTGCACACCATGACGAGCACATCAGTGATGTGTGTGTAGAGGAAACACTCCAACACAGTAACACATCCATCAGAGAAACTCCCTTTAAATGCAGGACATTTTATGGAGCAAAAGATAACAAAAGTATCTCAGACTTGCTGGTTTCTGACTCTTGTGTTACCTGTTCCTTATCCTGACCCTTGGGATTTTGTATTAAGAGCCATTATAAATTATTTCACGTATCAAGGTTCAAGAACTTCACAGAAATGTCAAAAAAACCCCAAACCATAAAAAGCGGACGTAGCACAATCCATTAAAGAGTAAAGTCCTTTCCTGCAACATCTGACAGCTTATGCACTGCTTCAGTGGCAACCAGCACAGAATCCCAGACTGGTTTGTGTTGGAAGGGACCTTAAAGCTCCTCCAGCTCCAGCCCCTGCCACGGGCAGGGACCCCTTCCATAGAGCAGCTTGCTCCAAGCCCCTGTGTCCAACCTGGCCTTGAACACTGCCAGGGATGGGGCAGCCACAGCTTCTCTGGGCACCCTGTGCCAGCGCCTCAGCACCCTCACAGGGAAGAGCTTCTGCCTTAGATCCAACCTGAACTTGCCCTGTTTCAGTCTGAACCCATCACCCCTTGTCCCGTTCCTACAGTCCCTGATGAAGAGTCCCTCTCCAGCATGACAAGGAGGACGTGGTAAGAGAGTAAAAATAGAAGTAGTGACCTTACTTCACCGTTGGGTTTGTGAGCAGCAAGGAACAACCTGCACTGAGGGAGTGAATCACAGTTACTAATCCTTCCCTCTGCCTGAACCACGGCGTAACCGCGAGGACTTAAATAAAACTCCAAACAACTCCTTTCCAAGGTGACAACACTGCTTTAAACCTCCAAACCCATTCCCATGTCCAATTATTTTCAGAAATGTGAGCAAGCAGGAAACACGCATCCACAGGGTGTGCCTGACCCAATTCTGCAGTCAGACACTCCAGAACAAGATGTGCTTCTAATGTAACTGCATGCAACCAAGAAAAGCTTGGAATTACTTTAATTTCTGTTGTGGTTTAACCCCAGATGGCAACTGAGCCTCACAGAGTCACTTGTTTGTCCCCCAGTGCGATGGGGGAGAGAACTGAA